GTTCCGGCTGGTTAGGTCATACAGTCTGATCAGCTACTTGCCTGCAAAAGAACCGATCAGCGAAGCGGACACAAAACTGTGTCCGCATGCTCCACGGGGTTTCACTATATACCTATCTACTTTAGGAAGGCAGTTATTACGTCAGTAGGTAAATCAATGAAGTTAGGGACCCTTCAACGTAAAAGCTGTACCACTACTTCACAACGGTATTTTCGTGAGAATGAGAATTAAACCTTTTGTCAGGTTAATCAGTCGGTTAAATTTGAGGTTGAAAGGTTACTCAGACTGATTTATATCTTTTGAGAAACTTTCTTTAACAAACGAAAGCTGTAATAGAAATACATAACATAAGAATCGCAATTAACATTTACCGGTTTAAAACCCGAAATACATAACTTATATTATTAAGTTTTTAAACGGTTATTAAGAACTATTTCGAATTGTGTTGAAAAAAAAATTATTCATTTTTGGGAAGTTCGAGATTCAACAAATCAAAAAATGTGTATGATAAAATGATTCCTCTGTAAATTGTCTAAAAAAAACCGCGACATAATATGGCAATTTTATACTTAACTTGCAAAAACGACGGGACGCGACTGACGTCGTGGGTAACAAGCAAGAACCAATTTAGATGCCCCAAAATACCACGCGGCGAAGTCGCTAGCACAACTAGTTATTAGTATAAAACTAATATCATTTATGTGGTCACATACATTGCGCTATCGTAAACAAACATGACAATTTATATCGTCTACTCTTCCTCTGTCTTCCCAATCTTGATCAGCTTTTATCTCGTATTAACTTTTCTTCTATAGCAGTGTTACCAGTAAACAAATAACGTATGTTTTAAAATACATCTTAAGAACTTTATATAAGGGGCTAGATCAATCTATTTGATACAAAACTCATTATGCGGTGTAATGCGATCTTTTGTTGTCTATATACCGTTAGCGTAGCAGCGGAGCGGGTAGCGGCACATGGGCAATTTGTTTTTTTTTATTAATTCGAAAGGAGGTTGAATATTATATTAAAATGGCTGCCAATACGGCAGACAGTTTTATTTCATTCAATTGTAATTTCTGAAAGTTATACTTATATCATCAAGCTGGAGAATTTATTTGTTTTAACGCGCTTGTCTAAGGAACTAGTAGTTTGAATTGACAAATTGTTTTTGTGTTAGTACAACATCAGGCTGCAACCGATAGGAGCAAAGAAACAGAGGGATACATGAAAAAAAACGGGGATAATTTTTAATCTTTAAATAATAAAAATATGTACGCGATAGTATATATCTATCTAATTTTGGGGTAATAACATTTTGGTCGAAACACTTCATATCATAAAAGAACCTTTGTCAGGTCACCTAGTATTTGATAAGTCTGTAGTGAGGTTCCCTTTTACTGGCAGACACATTTCTGTGCCTGTATCATTTTCTCCGGAATTCAATCCAGGATACCTTTAGGAAAAGAAGGGCTATCAAAACAGAAATTGTATGCAAGTACTATTTTCGTATTAGTTTAAATTAATATGCACAGATAATAATTATTGTATAATGTTTCCTACCCCGCTGTGTATGCACGGCCGTATGCGTGGGCGCAAGGTCGCGCACCCACTCATGCGCAGCTTGCAGCGGGTGACATTTGCACTAGTTTCTAACTTCGTGGGAGAACAATGCATTTAGATGTAAATTAATATATTTTTTGGGTATTAAAACATACAAGAATTTACTGAGAACTAAATAATTTAAAAGAGTTAAATAATTTAATGTTAATTTCAGCAAAAAACAATTTGTCGTAGATACATAATTAAGATTGCAAAATTTAATTTAATTTTATAGTCATGTAAATATACTCTTTTGTTTTATAAGGTGTTAGGTACGTTTTATAACGACGCTACAGAGGAGGTTCTGATGTAAGTATATTGATAAAAATTTAGTTAACTAAACAAAGCTCTTTTAACTTCCAAGATAAAGCAGCTGTTTCTAAATATATTTTGTTGGCTATATAATAAAATGAACTATAAAAAGTGTATCTCTTGGAAGTGTTTATAGCAGTAATTTATAATATAGATAAATAATGATGTATGTGTTGATATATCATATATAAATCAACTTACTTGTATTATTAGAAATTTTTATATTATTATTACTTATATTATTACAAATTTAACATAGATTAAAAAAATAACAAAATTTGTGTTATTCCTTAGTAAAGAGAGAGAAATAAAGCGCTATGAACAATGGGAGATTATAACAAAAAATACTAATAAAAATAAAGGGTGGTGATGGAACGATGGAACTTTTGAGTTATGTAGTATATATATTTTGAGAATATGTATCTATTTTTTAATTCCACATTATCAACAGTAAGAACTAATAGCGAAAGCATAGAAAAATTAAGAATTAAAAACCCTTACCAATAAGGGATACGAAATAAATACAGAAAACTAGCAGTGTCAGCGACTTCTTTCGCGTAAAATTTTGGGCATCCAAATTTCATGTATATAAATTTAAACTGCTATCCGATATCGACATCGAACGCGTCCCGTCGTTCTTGCAAGTTAATCTTCAAAGATAGACATATAGTGTCGCGGACATGTTTAACGAACGCAAAAATAACTTTTTACTTCGAACCAGTAGTTCCTGACATTAGCGCGTACAAACAAACAAACTCGTTAGCTTTATATATTAGTATAAAATTTGATGAAAATCGTTCAAGCTGTTTCGGAGTAGTCTGAGAACGGACATTAGTATATCACGAAAATAAATAAAAAATACGACTCGGACACGACTTGAACTGGCATCGTGCTGTTGCTGTAACCAATTAAGCTACCGAGTCAGTGGTCAGAGCAACAGCACGGAATGCTGACGATGCCGGTTCAAATCCTACCAGTGTATTATTGTTCAATGTATTTTCGATTCTATATTATATAGTGCCATCATGTGCAAAAACATGTGAAAAATATTAAAGTTTTCAAAAAATAATATATAAAATAAAAAATATTCTTTATTATCTGTAAAATTATAAAAATTATTTAGATTCGTCAAAAATATATTAAATAATATGTTTGTCTGTCCGTTCGTCATGAGTGTTCAAAAGAGCAACATAACCGAGAAGAACACCCAAGACACTCAGTCTGGCTTTTTTCAACGTCTTTCAAACGAATACATTTTTGTGAATTTAATGACCTAAGGAGCAATTCATATCACTGCTAGCCCTGTCATTAAAGAAGTCTTTTAAACAATAATAAATTTATAGCTTCAACTGGCAATGTATTATACTATAATAAATAAATTTTTAGCTGCTACGAAATTATGAGAATACCACGTTAACGACAGTGAAATGAATACAGGGTAACCTTGAATGAGTCGACGTCGGATGTCAAATGGGTGACACTTTCTTTAGCACTCAGCTTTCTTCATATTAATACCGTAGTTTATCTTTACAACTGACCATTAAACTTTATAGCACATTATTGGAAACCGTTGATTTTTACTACACTATAAACATGGTCTATAACATCCAGCCAGCGTTGAAATATACTGTACAAAAATTTAACGTACATGTATTTATTTTTAAATAATTTTAATAGGGTTTAAGGGTTCAAAGAGATTGCTCGATAGCGATAAGCCTGCATAATAACTCTTCAGGCCATTTAAATATTTTCCCAATTATACTGCTTTCGAGAGAGAGGTGGACAGACAAATATAGAGTTCACCTAATGGAAGGTAAAACACTCCAGCTATATACAATCTCCACGACATGATTTTTGATTTTTTTCTGAAAACTGCATATATCGATACTAATATATAAAGCTGAAGAGTTTGTTTGTTTATTTGTTTGAACGCGCTAATCTCAGGAACTACTGGTTCGAAATGAACATGTCTTTTTGTGTTGGTTAGAGCATTTATCGAGGAAGGTTTTAGGCTATAAAACTTCTGACTAATACAAAGGTAGGTTTACCTACAGCGGGAAATTACAAAAAAAATGGGTCATCATTATAGGGTTTCGAGGCGTACGCTGCAAAACCGGTTCAAGATATCTTCGATTCGATTCTTCTTTAAATTATCAAAAAAATGTCCGCGATAGTAAATGATCTCTTAAGACGAACTCGCAGAAACGACGGGAACCGAATGACATTCGGTTTATTTAAATTATTATCGTACTCTATAATAAACAAACAATATCTCCTTCTATTTATAACAAATTTATATACGATTCAAATTCCGATATTAATTGACCTTACATGCATTATAATTATCAATTGATGCTATTATGTTCAACACAGAGAACTCCTTGTTTACGGAACTGCAGAGCAAATAAGACTACACAGTGATTCATTCATAGATTGATTCGAGATAAAAAGCGTCTTTATCGAATAGAAAATATCTATGGAAGTCCGGTTTTCACTGCGAAGGATGAGACCTCATTTGAAAATATGTTTTATTCAACGCGCGTTGCGATTACAGCGCCAAAAATGGGAGACAGGTATTTTTATCCTGATTCATTTAAAATGCATTATTTATTAATAACGGACTTTTGCTGAATTGACAAAATGACATACATTTTATTTTTTACTTTAATAAATTATATTGTGAAATATATTAGTTATAATTACTTAACGATCCGGGCTCGACTTTCGGGAAAAAAACATATATAACTCCGACATTTAGAAGAAAATTGTACTTCGTCATAGAGTACTTCTCTTGTACGTTGGTATATGACGGTGAGCTAATATAACATGAAAAAAAAAATAATCAAATAAAACACTTTTTACGGTTTAACGCAAAATGTATTGATTAAAACATATGTGAGTGGAGCCTCGGGACGTTGTCAAAATAATTAGTAAAGTCTAAAGTCTAAAGTCTACTCGCATAAATGACAGACAGTACTTTATCAAAATTCGTTCAACCATTTTGGTGTAATTTCATGTTTTAAATACAAACATCACGTACAAATGATGTAATTCGGTGAGCCAATAAAGCCTACGCAATCACCAGCCTAAAACCATAGTTTCATCGTCCAGCTAAAGGACCGAGGCTCTCCAAATAAGGTCACTCGCCACGCTAGATCCTTCACACCAATCCAAAAATCGTAGGACCGTGTCATAATCGCCGTTTTTGTCGCCGCATTTGGCCAAACGATTATTTTCCCCTGTTTTGTTTAGTTAGTTGTAGAGCCTACTGATATACGAAACTTTGTTGATTATTCGATTTATATTATATATTGAAGACAGACAACCACGGGGTTCTCTTGATGGAAACTGAATTAACCCAGCTATATAAAATCTGAGTAACATGCGCTGATCTGCGAACGCTGGCTCATGACCTGGACGATATTCCTAACCTAAATGGGGGGCATTTCATATCAAGATTTACAGACGAAGTCCAAGTATAAATATAAATCGATTAGACACTCGAAAGTAGGCAGATAAATGTGGAAGTAGATCATATGTATATCTTAAATGATACTACAAGGACAGGCCCAATCTAATATATAAAATTCTCGTGTCACAGCTTTCGTTGCCATACTCCTCCGAAACGGCTTGACAGATTTTGATGAATTTTTTTGTGCTTATCCGGTATCTATGAGAATCGGCCAACATTGATTTTTCATCCCCTAAATGTTAGTAATTTTTTTTTATTTTTTAGACAAAATTTTTAATTTCTATTTTTTTTATGATACAACATACAAAAATACATACAATCCTCAATTTTCACCCTTCTACGATCAATCCTTATTTTTTAATAGCCATTTTAGTAATTCAATCTTTTTTTTCTCTCTTTTTTTTAAATTAATTATATGGCAAAACAACGTTTGCCGGGTCAGCTAGTACATGTTATATATTTGTTCCTAGCGGTAGTGTATCCATAATTGGCAACGTTTATAAATTTCAGACTAGTATATGGTGTAGATTTGGCCACATCGGTCGAAATGAATTCAAATTATCTCAAGCAATGTTAAGCAATAGAAACGTGTCTTGAATGCGAATTATTTTGTGAGAATGTCTCGTATTGAATTCGGAATTAATAATAAATTGTATTCAAATGCTTTTAGTCTAGATAGGGTTGCCAAAAATTTCTTCTGCGAAAAATAGTTACTTAATAGTTATTACTTTGCGAGAGGTATAAACACTATTCGATAAACGGGAATTTCATTTCGATATTCGCTTTCATAAAATCTATTAGTATTCATTCGCTGTATATATGTCCCTTTCTAATCGTATTCATTGCACAGAGAGAAAAGCACCTTTGGGAGCATAGAAGCGAATTGTTTATATGTTTCATTACTACTGTTCTATCGGTGCCAGCGACTTTGTCCGTGATAGATGCTGCCTTCTCTCATATTACATGTGTATATAAAAATAACTTAAATACTGTCTATAGTTTACGCGAGTAGTACACATTTAAATAAAACACTTTAACGGTTTAAAACGCGATATATTAGTTAAACTTATTTGAAAATGATTTTTAACTTCGGCCCGACGTTTCGGATGCTTTGCAGCAGCCGTGGTCACGTGACCACGGCTGCTGCAAAGCATCCGAAACGTCGGGCCGAAGTTAAAAATCATTTTCAAATAAGTTTAACTAATATATCGCGTTTTAAACCGTTAAAGTGTTTTATTTAAATAAAAATAACTTACCAAATAAGCGTCGATTGGTTTCTCCCTCGGTCTGTGGTAGGCCTTTTGAAGTTCCGTCTGTTTGAGTGCGTGTGCTATGTGAAGTGCGCTCGCGTCGAAACGTCCGTACTGGTAGTCCGGCGTATCTCTCGACAACTCCCGCGCAGGCGATGCGTGAACGCTGCTCCCATTCGTCGCCCTAATCGGTGATACTGGAAAACATGAACAGGTTAATTAAATCTATTAAATAAATAATTAAGTCTTATAAATAAATAAATATTAATTGAAAATTAGAATATTTTTCAAATTATGGCATTGATAAAAAAAATTAACGATACGAGCAGGACTTGAGCAGGCATCCACATGAGAGGAAAGATCTGTATTTTTGTATGTAACGGATAAACTCAAAAAGTACTGGACCGATTTTAATAATTATTTTTTCATTAGAAAGCTACAATATCACCGAGTGACATAGGCTTAGTAGTAGATTACTGTAGAAATCTTTAGAATTTCTATCAAAACCAACGGGAGGTGTGAAAAAATAAGTTCAAAAAATTCGACTAACGCATACATTTATAAATAGCCTAAATAAGGAAAAATTATATCCCAAGTCACTATTCGACGAAGTCGCGGGCACAGCTAGTTTATAATAAAAAACGATGGAAATATAAGCCTAAACGTAAAATTAAACACACATACATAATTGGATGTGGTTTATTGTCACTAAATTTGAACTCACTGAAATAAGTAAGTTGTCAGACCCTGATAGATTATTTAAAGTACTTAGTTAAAATTTAATAAAAAAAGTATGTCAGATATCTATAGTTACACAATTAAACTATATCAATGAACGAGGCAGAAGTTACTGACTGTTATTAAATAAAATTACATTTCGTTTACTTCTCCATACGTCAAAGGTATTTCGTAATATCTTCCGTTAAGGCCTAACGCTCATTCAAACCTAAGATACTACTAGCATATTTTGCGTTACGTAAACACTTCTGACTAAATGTATGCAATTATCACCTCTAGTGTAAGTCAGATACATAATAATTTAGCTTGACATTTGAAATCATGCCAATGACCGTTCAAATACAGTTTATGTCATGTTACAGTTGGGAAAAACAAAGTATTGTGCGTTGTTATATTCGAGTAGTACAGCTTACATTAAACACTTTTATCGTTGGACGTTATGTCAAAGCACCAGAAACGTCGGGTCAAAATAAATAAAACGAGTTTAAAGTGTTTTATCAAAATATTGTAAAGAGATATTTTCTTGTATTTCCATTTTAACAATAAATTACATTTTAGTTTTTAATTTAATTTTCATGGACTAACATTAGGCGATTTGAATTTATAAGGTATATTAAAAATACATAAACGTCAAAAGATTTCGTCTATTTGTCCCAGGCCACAGCAAAAAAATCATACAATGTACTGTACATTGATTATGATTTTGCTTTTGGTATTTCAGTAAAAAAACTGACTTTTTATTAACATTGTAATCTTTTTCGGTTAAACATGCATTACAAAAAATTAAAATTTCGTGTTAAAATTAATTTAATCACTGCAATTTATCCACACTGTGGCTGATATACCCATAAGCTTTACATTCTAGGAAAGCCATATATGTCATTTTTTAGCTGGTCAAGTTGTGTAAACTTCTAATTCATTCAAAGAATTCAACAAAATGCTTGCATTTAGGAATTAGATCGAGAGTTTCAACACATCACGGGTGTATACTACGAAATACTATGTTTATCATTATGCTATTGCAAATATTTTATCGTACTACATGGTACTACTAGGGGGTCGGATGTAGCGGTCTCAGTTAAAAGAAATTTTAAAGGTTTAACATTTTAAGAATGACATATTTAATCTTTTTTACATCATCCGAATTACTGTCTCCTCAGCTTAATTCCGCGCCTTGCCTAGTGTTGTAGACTATATACGGTTCGAAAATTACTGTGAACTTATCTTCTCTCTGATGTACATAAATTGGTTACGGTTTTCAAGGTAGTTCCCGATAAATCTACACTAATGAAAATCTAAAGCGGTTTCTAGTCGCCGAAAAGCAAAAGATTTCGTCAACTTCCAATTGTGGCACGGGGTCTGTTCGAGTTAAATACAGGAGAGTATACGCGATTAATTATTTAAAATTTAATAATTATATTGTACTATATACGCGTATGTAACTTAGTTGTTAAATATTTTATTTAGTCCGCGGTCACGACTGCTGCAAGCCATCCGAAATGTTACAGTTAAAATAAGTTTTCGCGTTTTAAACCAAAATAATTTTCTCTTACTCGTGTAAAATACAGACAACGACAAAAACATAGTTCTACTATAAACAACGTATATTTGAACAAACACACGATGAAAATGTTTATTTCTAAAACACTTGTCTTACAAAATCTCTGCTATACATGTTCCAAATGAAGCGTAAATAAATACTTTCAACATAATACAATGTATATTCAATGTTGTTTTTGCGTTTTTATATATTTACGGTGTATTTGCATACAATGTATTAAAAAGTTAACTTTTACTTTATAAGATTAAGGGTATGGAATCTAAGGCAAAGAAAATCTTCTTATTTGTAGAGACTACGCTTAGCTCGAGATTCTTCTTTTGAGAGAAGAGGGTAGACTGTGCTTCACTTGATATAAGCTGAGTCATTTCAGGATTATAACATCGAATCAAGATGCGCCGTTTACTTTGCTGCTAAATTGGGAAATCTTCAGACTTCAGACAAATCTATATTCCACACTAATAACCTAATTTAGATCTTTTAGGAATCTTGCTAGATAGAGCGGTGGGTGTAGAATTCAAGACTCATTGCCCATGGCTGCTGCAAAGCATCCGAACTTCGAAGCGTAGTTAAAATATGTTATAAATAAATAACTAATATATATCGCGTTTTCTACCGTTAAAGTGTTCATTTAAATGTGTACTACTCGCGCAAACTATAGACAGTTTATCGAGCTACTCTCATAAAATGCATTTCTCAAAATTAATGTAGGCATATGTCGTTGCTATTAGTAATTTGCTTTTGAATTACCATAAAATCACGTTTGCCACAGTTTTATTGAGTAAAAAAAAACCAATTGCATTACATGAAGTTTCTTAAGAAAGTTTTCGCATGCCTTTTCGTAATAACCATATACACGCACGTCGTAAATTCATAAGTGACGATAATTATAATGAAAAAAGACCGGATGGTATGAAAAATATTCAATCAGAACACATTTAACGAATCAAAAGGCATGATATGACGTTCTTGAAAACTGGACACTTACGACTACTGATTTGTAAATAAAACTTATTTTAACTGTTTAAAACACGTGCTTCAGTCCTTCCTTTAATTCATGACAATTTCGTGACAGTTTCAATTATATTCTTTAATCAGTCAAGTAAAATAATATTTTCTTCTTTGGTCAAAACACATTTCTGTGTCCGTTTCATTCATCGCTACTTAACAAGTAGTTGGGAAGAATTCTGTGTCCCTAACCTAATCAATCTATTGTTTCCCCAGGATACGAAATCAGGACGCGCTTAACGCAATGCTAGACAACCCTTGAACCATTTGGCTACAACTCTGCTAATCAGTAGTTAAAATAGACCCGTAGATTATTATTAGCAATTCATTTCTACCATTAGATCAACGAACCGGTCAAAATAGCCCAAGCCTCTGATTAATTATTTCGCTCTAAACAATTACAGCTGATACGAAATTCAAGCGCAAAATAACTATTTCTCACGCCACGGCTTAGCATAGGTCAGAACACAAGCTAGTCCACCTAAGCTGTAGGTCACTGGGCTGCCTGCAGGAATGCGGCCTTCTTTGCAAGTTCACCCGTCTCTCTCACTCCTACTGTACGTATATTTCCTCTCTTTTTACCGTCGGAGATTGTCGAAAGTTCTCGAAGGCTGGGGCCTTCTTCGGAAGTTGCGACTGGTTTGCTGATTTGTGATATGGCTGCGAGGATTTATGGAGGCATTCGAAACTTCAGCCGAGTGATAGTAGATGGTGGGATTCCGGGAATAACTAGCATGTTAGGACATGCAAGGCCACCGAGAACTGTTTGTAGTTCACGATGTGACACCGTGAATTAGCTTTGTTAGTCTTTAGTCCGATCTAGTTTCTACAATACAGATGGCGGTAGTGTAGCAGACTTGTCTTTGACATTAGGGACACCTTCAATCTTCAGACGCCCCGTGCCCACGTATGCTGCAAAGCATCCGCAACGTAAGGCCGTTATTAAGAAAATTGGTAAATATGTTAGTTTTATTTCGCATTTCAAGCGTTTTATTAGAAGGTCACTTCTAGAGTTCATCTTCGGTTTGTACATTGTACCGGTTGGCCTAATGGTCGTAATATTTGCCTAATAGGTAGGTACGATCCTCAACCTGTCCAACAAATGCTAAATAATTCTCATTACAAGAGTAAGCACACAATTTTGTACTTTGTGAATAAATAGTTTAGATTGGGCAGGACACAGAAGTATCCACTGCCATCGATAATAAGACCGATAGTTTAAACGGGCACAAATTTGTCTCTGTGCGATTTAAATATACACATTGCATTTCTTTCTTTCACTGTCCTTTGCACTACTTTCTATCAAACATAAATATTCGCCCTTGGTGTCAAATTGTTATCAACAAGCTGATTTCTACTTCGTCTTGTTGGTTTTGACGTCAACATTGTACGTGGCCAATGAACCGTGTCAAAGCCTTCGATACAAGGTCACGCGCTTGTTTTTATACATAGTATACCTTAAGGGCAAGATATACTTAGATAAAACGCTATTAACCGCTTAAAACGCAAAATATAGTGCTGAACTTATTTACAATTTATTCAAACTACAGTAAGACGTTTCGGCTGCTCTACCTTTCGTGGTTACGACGGGGACTGACGATGGAGGGGGTGTACCAAATGGCGAAGTCAACGTTGACACTTTTTTATACTAGGTATTTTAAGAAACTAGTTGGATTCTCACAGGCTGACTCAAGGCGTTACGCCGTTGTCGATATTTCGCGTTTTAAACCGTTAAATGTTTTATTCATATGTGCTTGCGTTAATTACAGATAATGCTAAATATATACTGTGTGTAATTAATCAAAATATAATTAAATACAAAATTCGGAATCGAATACTGCTGTAAACTTTGAGAAACGCAATGCTGGTTTATGCATTAACCATTGGGCCATAGAGACGGTCCAAGTAAAAAAATATATTTACTCACATTCCGTTTCATGGCTGTTCCTCGCGTGCCCTCGTATCTGTTCGTTCACATAGTTGTTGCTCTTTGGAACGTTGAGCGCACTTCGTATGCCGACAGAGGAGTTGTCCAAATGTCCAGGGCCGATTTTGGGCACGTGGCTGGAGCAGTACACCTCTTTGTCTTCAGTCCAGTGCTGATTGTTGTAGTAGGTCTGAAAAGATTCATTGGTTATTTTAACAACGCCCGCATCGAGTGTATAATCTGTAGTAAATTGGGTTTTACGACTAATTAAATAATAATGTTCTGTTTCTTTCTCTCAACGCTTAACATACAATAGTGGATGCGAAATAATTTTATTTCTCTAAGAAGGGAAACAAGCAGTGTTTAATTAAAGGAAGGTGAAGTTCTCAGGAAATTCAGGCCGATAATCTACTTAAGTCGTGCTACCTATCTATTTTGTTCGATTTCGAGATTCGGTATCCCTCAGATTGAATTATGTGGAATGGTTAACAATTACTACAAAGACTAAAGTATTTAAAAAAATATATAAAGATCTCATAATAAAAATTATCTTAAAAACGGCCTTATGACATGAAACAATTCAGTAAGGAAGCGAAGAACCAATCAACGACCGTCCTTTTACATATACGGCCGCCTCTGTAGCTAAATGGTTAAACGTATTGCCTAGCATTGTATCAAGCGCGAGAGTTCCTGGGTTCGAATCTCGGGCACGGAAGTCCGATCAACAACTTGCCTATTGGGGGGAAACAGGATTTCACTATCATATACATATCACTAAGTTCAGTCGAAAAAATTAGAATTCTTGAATTTAAATCGTGAAGTCAAACCAATGTTCATTGTCAATTGTTTTCCATTGAGGTTCGATAACTGAGGCTACGCACCGGCCGTCGTACAATAGATATAGATAGTGACCAATGTAAGTAGACACCCAGCAAATGTAGCGAGGAGGACTTTATCCTACTCTATCCCACCATCTCTTCTAGCTTCTTCGTCGTTTTGTTGTTTGCAAAATTAATATTATAATATTGACAGAGCACTAATCATTTGGACTTCGGCCGCGTCTAATATTTATTTTGGGCATCAATTTTGGGGAGCAAATTGTTTTTGCAAAGCTCCTATTCAACTCTACAAAAGTAAGCTGTTACCCACGACGTCGTCCGCGTCCCGTCGTTCAAAAGTCACTGACATATACAGTCGCAGACATTTTTGAGATCATTTAAAGAGGACTCATTCTTTCATACATATTATTTGGGTATCTTGAACCGTGTTCGCAACGGAAACCCACAAGGATTAATAATTTTCCACTTTTCCTACATTTCACGTTGTTTCCTCGCACCGATTAGCCGCAGCGCGATATTTGATAGCCGTACTAGATAAATGCTCTAACCAACACAAAAATAATTTTTCAATTCAAACCAATAGTTACTGAGATTATCGCGTTCAAACAAACAAACTCTTCAGCTTATTATTCCCATAGTGGTCTACATCCCTAGGGGTCTATAACAATGGGTCTGCAATGGGTATTCGTGAAGAAAAAACAATTTTGGGGGTCCATGAAATGAAAATGACGTAGTCTATTCAACACGGAAAAACATAACAAGAGGTCTACGACACAAAAACGTTTGGGGAACTCTGATATAGAGTATAGATAAAAAAGATTCTTGCGAGTTAATCTTAATTTAAAAATATACTATCGTTATATTGACGTAATTATTTTTACGTCGTTTAAGACATTTGGGCTTTACATAGAATATTCTAGCATTATCTTTATTAAAAGTGGAAGCGAAGATTTTAATCATCATAAGTTTAAACTTTATTTTAGTTTATTTATTTACTATTTAGAAATGAAAAAACACTCAATAACAAATGATTTTTTGTTACAAACTTCGTTTAATCGACCATTTCATATTACAGACATTCCGATCATTTTGTGTATAACCATAGATGGCGCTACACACCCTGTCTCTAGCGTTCGAGGGTTCATGTGAAACTGGCCTTGCCAACAAAAGCTAATTCAATAATGTTTGTGATACGCTGAGTTATCGTGGACAATAAAATTTAATTCGAAAATTTTTACGCTGTGCCACTGACCGTATAAATTATTTACCGTTTTGTCCATTCATTCCGTGGACAAGTCGAGATTAACTAATACAAACTGGATAATATGCAAAAAGCAGGGCTGAGTTTCTTGGGTGTTTTTCTCGGTCATGTTGTCTTTGAGGACTCTCTGCAGAATCACGACAGGCAGATAGACAAACGTTTTTAATTTTTTTTGACAATTCTAAATATTTTTTAAATACATATTAAAATGAATAAAAGATATTCTATATTTCATTTTATTTTGCATATAATAGGAGGTAGAAACTAAATGGTAAACTGTTGATGCACGAACAGGGTTCGGAACCTCGGAATCGTGACAAGTAGTAACACTTTAACACATTGATTTCTTAAATTAGTTTCATCAATATTTTTTTAACAGTAATCATAGGATAGATTTCACATCTATTTTATTTGTTTGTTTGAACGCGCTAATCTCGGGAAATATCGGTTCGAATAGAAAATTATGTTTGTGGTGGATAGGGCAAGGCTAAGGCTATAGGCTCCAAAACATTGCGCTGTGACAAATAGGAGCGACGTAACAGCATGAAATGGGAAAAAAATCGGGGAAAATTAATTAGCTTTAAATTTTGGAACCTCACGAATTGCGAATAAATTCATCAGAAACGGAGATCGAACTCACGCCCAGTCGATTATTAGCAATAAAATATGGTGACGATTACCACTAGAACAACGTGCACTTTAAAAGTTGTTAGAGCAACAGCACTAATGGTTGCGACCGCGGGTTCGAGTCCAGCCCTCTCATTTTAATTATATAAGTTCCTTAAGTGTTTATTACAGTTAATTATAAACTATACAAATTACATAACTCGTGAGTAATAATTCAGGGTAATGTGTGGTGAGTCACATAAAACAACTGATCTGTAACGAAATTAAGTATTACTCACATTTATTTACTTTGAATTTCAATGACATCGACTTGTTACAATTAATTGTATGGCTACAATAAATAAATACTGTCTGTAGTTTACGCGAGTAGTACACATTTAAATAAAAACTTTAACGGCTTAATACGCGAAATATATTAATTACTTAACTTATTTTAAATACGCTCCGTCACCATGGCTGCTGCAGAGTAACCGAAACCGCAGTAAAAATAATTAAAAACAACGTTAGCTAATATTCGCGTTTTGCAATTTATAAAAGTAATTTATTAGATATGTTTTTTTTTGTTTATAGTCTATCTGCGCGATGACGATATTGATCTTAACGGGACTTAGACATCTTTCATATTTTCAGGTCTATCTTAATTAAAAGGACAAAAAAAGTAACAGTTTAAAACTAGAAATGTTAACTCTTTAATATTACCAATTTAGTTCGCGTGTCAATATTCTTACATATATACGCTGAAGAGTTTGTGTGAAAGCGCTAATCTAAGGAAATACTGGAGAAAATTGAAAATTCAACAGCTTAAATCTATAAAGAATTGCAAAAGCAAATTTTCATGCCCAAAATTGCTATTCTACGCGCACAAAGTCGCTGACACGGGTAATTTGTTCTATAAAATGTAGTACACCACTCGCGTAAATTAGAAATACAATTATTAAAAAATACATGTATGTAAAAAACGAGACTCGTAAAACACAAGTACAACATAATAATATACACAAGGTCAACTAAATGCCACAAGCTATATGTCGTGAATTCGTGATGATATAATATCAAGGCATAGAAATAACTTTTATAACTTAACAGGCGTAAAACAGGTCTTGAATGTGGCGAAAAAAGTATTTCGACGCAATCTAGTTCTTTAAATGATAACATTGTAACATTTTTGGGCTTGTTGGTAAGTATGCAAAGGTTGCCTGGAAGAAATCGCCATAGGCGATAAGGCCGCCTTTGCAAAAACATGTTTTGTTTTGTATATATAATTCTAAGTATCTATGTTCTTATGTCTATGTTTGTGCAATAAAGAGTTATTATTATTAAAGTATGGCTAATACACAAACGGGTCGTGGGTTCTCGTCTCGTCGTGGAAAAATCTTAATATTAAATAGGTAATAAAAGGAATATCCTCTTCTCTCTATCATAAAAACAAAACATTGCAAGTCATTGAACTGTGTTTTTTTCCAAAAAAAAACTTTTTTTTAAATATGTAATGTCTATAGTTTACGCGAGTAGTACACATTTAAATAAAACACTTTAACGGTTTAAAACGCGATATATTAGTTACATTTATTTGGAAATGATTTTTAACTTCGGCCCGACGTTTCGGATGCTTTGCAGCAGCAGAGACACAGAGGTTTCAAATAAGTTTAACTAATATATCGCGTTTTAAACCGTTAAAGTGTTTTATTTAAATATGTAACGTTATTACGTTATTTTTATAATGAATAGCTTCAGTGATCAGGACGGAATTTTCAATATTACAACCATCCATTTATAACCAGATTATAAATCATTATAAATTGATTTCAAACATGTCGCACCCAATGGGGATCAAACCAAATAATGAACGAGTCATTATTAGTCATACATCATAACTTAAATTGTGAACTTTTTTCTTACATAACCTTTGCAATTAATAAAAGCAGTAGTACCAACCTTCAAAGTCAACTTAGTCCCACATACAGCGCACTTAAAGCATCCACTATGGAAGAAAGTGAAGTCCTTGAGTGGGCCCACCCTGTCCACCTGATACACGATCTCATTGCACCTAAAGCAGGTGCTTTCGTAGAAGTTCGGCCGATACATAGTGACACTTACACTGGCACTAAGACATATTCACTTCACTGCGCGTTATCGTCTTTGGTGCGAATCATTTGCCTTTTTACTTTATCTGGTATAAGTACGATAAACTATAATGCATATATAACATAGAAAAAGGTTTAAATAAAATACTTTACCGGCTTAAAACGCGATATATATTAGTTAAACTTATTTTAAAATTGTTTAGACTACGGCCCGTTTTGCTACAAAGCATCCGAAATGTTAAAGTGTAAAACACTTTAAATATGTACTACTCGCGGAAACTAGTCAGTATAGAAAAAGATTACAAATTTCTTGCCTTACTTTAAGCCCACATATTCACTATATAAACGATATCGTTACTTTTAGTTTTATTCAGAGTTCTTATTTTTATTTATTTAGTTTTTAAAAGGCAATAATACTCTTCTGAATATATTACTATAAGACGCCATATTGAAATAGAAAACGAAATGACAGTTTTGACAAACCATTTTTTTTAACAATTCTTTTCGGCCATGTCCATTTTAATTAAAAAAACTATTTGCTATTTATAAATTAAAAATAGGAAGTAACGAATATCAAACCCCGATGACTACTACTAAAGGTAAGTTAAATAGGCTTCATTGTAAAAACGTACGATAATTTTGACCACGCACGCTTTATTGATCTTTACTCCCCTCAAGCCAAACTAAAACACTGGTAACGTAGTAATTAGTCGGCGTTTTTAAGGTGGTTAAGTACTTTTAGATCGGAAGAAATTGGAAGAATATGAAACAAGCCATTAAGATTTGCTAGATCCTTTAATGTAATAATTTAGTAAAGAAGGAGAAAGAAGAAGACAAGGTAAGTAGACCGAGCTCAGGTAGTTAATATTTTAAAAATGGAACACATTACAGATTATAGCGGAAATATTATATTACAAAATTAACTTGACAGGAACATGCATATTTAGTAATAAATTAAATTTTCTGTGCTATTGTGTGTTAAGAAGGTTTTTAGATGTTTACAGCAATTTGTCCCACAGTCTTAAGGGGTGAGTGGGGCACAAACATTCACTTGCTTCTTGATGCGTTAAATATATGGTCTGTGGTATATGTAAGATTTCTTCACGCTTAAATTCTTGTTATAAATATATATAAGGAAACAATCGAATGATCTAGATAGTTTATCAAGTATGGTATCGAGCAGTTAAGTGATCAGCAATTGTTTTCCGTTTCTCCGCACAAGTAACTGGTGTTTATTAGCAAATCAATGCTTGCCAGCCACGTAGCGTAGCTTCGGGCGGCGCATGCGCAAGCCATAGACTTATAGACTCGGTTTGAAGCGCGACTTCACTTTTGGCATTTTATAAGTGGACTATGAAAAGCAGATCGGTACGTAAGTACATAAATAAGAGTCACGAAAATCGATACGAACAATCTAAAAAAATTTCTTCAACATTTGTAAATATTGTTGTAAATCGTATTGATTTCATCGAAAATAAGTTCACGAGCGAACAAGAGCGATCTTTATGTGTTCAGCCTTTTTGATGCACAGACTGAAATACATATTAAAACATTAAATTCACTCTGTTTTGAATATCTCTCGCCCCCAATCGCTATTATTATAACACTTGTACCACACGCTAAAGACGCCACAAGTATTGGAGCGTGCCGATATAATGATAGGCCGCGGTATTCATCTGTTGTGCGTTGTGCCATATTCCTGGTACAACACGATATATCTACCTGTTGCATTCCACAATAATCGAACGATTGTTAATCGTAATATCTAGATGAGTAAAGCACAGGCTGTATTCCACTAAGCTGGTTTTAAGGGAACTGATTTGATGTGAGTGAGGTTAAATTACAAACAATTTCTTTAAGAAAGACAGTAAGTATAGAATTGATTTGATCCAAAAACGAAGGATTCGTCATCGATGTATTTTGACTCTAGATATTTTGAAATCTATAGAATTAAATCAAAAGCGCATCTACCCTTAGGCATTTTCATCTGTAGATATTTCGCGTTTTTGATAACATATTACTACCACCCATTTGAAAACCCAATTTTCCAACATTCAACATGTTTTCGAAAAGTATCAATTGAATTTAGTAACATCTTCGACACGATGGGAATCAAACCCGCGACCCGTTAGTTATTAGCCGTGCTTTACTATCAATAGACCAACGAAAAGGTAAAAATACAGTTCATGTTTTACATATACAAGTATATATTACGAATACATTACATTCAACGCATAACACTCATTTTTCAATCAAATGTCTACATAACCAAATGGGAACAGTGTCGTAATATTTCTTTCACTGTTACCCAATTCTATTGATCTACGTCTATACAACCAGGTTAGTTTCTCAAGCATAGAAAGTGATAATATTTAAACAACTCCGAGCAAACTGTATGTTGAACTACATACATGGAGGGTAAATACTGCTTCAAAGATACAGATTATAATTAAAAATCGATGACAATTTAAAAAATGACAAAAGAAAGACTTCAACTATATTTTTAATTGTAAAAGTGTTTAAATACTGTCTATAATTTACGCGAGTAGTACACATTTTAATAAAACACTTGAACGGTTTAAAACGCGATATATTAGTTAAACTTATTTGAAAATGATTTTTAACTTCGGCCCGACGTTTCGGATGCTTTGTAGCAGCTAACTAATATATCGCGTTTTAAACCGTTTGTGTCCATTTTTTAACGGTTTAAAACGCGGTAAAATATATAGAGGTTATCTTATTATATGATAATTAGTTTTAAATACTCATCCGTAGCCTATCTTTACTTTTAATGTTAAAAATGTGTGGTAAGAATTTTATTTTATTGAAAACACTAGTCCTTAGAATGTTGCTGGTAATAGCTTATAAGAATCATCGATATCTGTTACACGTAAGTTTTTATAGGCAACTGATTTTGTGCTCTGCCTGACCGAAATAATTTATTACGTTTATTCAGGATTGAAACACAGATTCTCTTGCTTAACGGAGTGCTATGCATCGCGTTTAACCGTTGGCTGATGGTCTAGCGGAAACTTGAATAGATTTGAATTGTTAAGTTTTAGTATTCAGTGCAAAAATTGTTTGTATAAATTACAGTCAAGAAAATTGCAAATATTCGAAGTATTTCCGTTCGTGCGAGATAAGTTTAAATATGCTCTTTTAATGACAGGGGAAAGATCTTATTAAGGTGCGTTGTCGACCCATATTGACTTTCGTTTGTCCACAGATTGTATCTGAAACGCGGTTTTACGACTATATCATCATCTGTGAATTATACGTCACAATATGTAGAATCTGATGATAATCAAACCGTTGATAATCTATTTATTGATACAGTTACACCCACTGAACTCCAAATCTTGAATTATACATATCTAAAAGTCTGTGTGATGAATAAAATTTAACTGATTGAAACGGTGAAATTACGAGAATAAAATGTGTTATTTTTAGATTTACGTAATTTTGTAAGAATGTTTACAACAATGTGTTATTATGAAATTCTGCGAGAATTTGTGTTCGATATTTAAATAATACATTTTAACCACAGACAATATCGCAAGTTCTGATAAGCGATAATCTTTATTAGGAGAAAGAGGTATTACGTAAATTATTTATTTCGTTCACATTAAATATACGATGTAGGTGTAGAATTTGGCCAGCGTTGGTCAATACGTGTAGGCTTGTCGTGGGCCGCCTAAATTACTTTTACTTAATATCAATGAAACCATTCATATGAATAAGATAACATATATTGAAATGCTATATATATAATTTATGAGTGACGGTATCGTGTTAACGAATTATGACAGCTCTATATATGAGGCCCCTGGGCCCAGAGTAGCCTAACTGCAATTTTATGACTTCGGTTACTTATATTTTTATAATCTTAAAACGTTAATCTACTAGAGCACAGTGACGAAAATTGTTAACATAACTCAAATAATAGTCCAAATCCATTTTCGCCTAAGTTAATTGCGCATTTTTTACTTTCCTCCTCATTGAAAATCATGTTTTTTGTTATTAGGCCACTCTGGCTCTGGCAGCCTCATATAGCAAAGGAATAAAAAATCTATATATACATGTACGTACATATATGGCGAATAGGAGCAGACTATAAATGGCTATTTATGAGACCCGAACACGAAATAACCACTATGTTAATAAAACCTATTTAAGGCTTCGACGATATTTCACAAACTGTTAATTTGTGAGATTATGCTAAGACGTGATGTCATTCTTATCCTTGTTTAAAAATAGCAAATGTTAGGTCGGCTTGAAGGACCAATTTTATAATACGCGTTTTAGAAAAATGTATTCAAAATAGGCAACGTTATCGAGTTTGTAAAACAAGTTAGGAAAGTTTTTTTGCAATTACTTGTGTAAAAACGTAGTGTAAACTTATTTTCAAATATCTAAATGCTTAATGCGGGTTCCTTAATTTATTTGAGACAACTTTTGCTTATCAGCTTAAAGTAAGAAGGCAAACGAATATAGTTTATGTAAGAATAATATTCAATACATTTACTACAATAAAACATTCGCGGCATAATTTACTCCGAATAAGAATCTAATTAGATCGCAATCTAAAAAACCTTTTTTTACAACACCTCCTTGCGTACAACGCTACACACTGGCGGTTTCTCACAATCAAATCACACTGACACAGATTAAAAATAATTAGAATTCGTGCTCACTTTTGTAAGAGGAACGAAACTATTGCATTTCACATACTTTTTATTTTGACAGCTGTCAGATGTCGTCGCGGAACGCGCGCCGTTCGCGGGGGCCGGTCGAACACTGCCCGCCCGCAATTGTTTACGGCCAGTCTTGCGTCGTGTTGCCATAGAGTTGATACATAAACCTAACAGTCTATGCCATGTTTACATGGTAGCTCTGAGAAGTCGCTAGTACATCTATATCGCTTTCTAAGTATTACACATTCAAATAAATTACTTTTTAACGGTTTAAACGCAAAATATATGTTAACTTACTTTACATTTATTACAACAAATATATTGCGCTTTTTTAAACCATTAAAAGTGATTTATTTTAATGTCTATTACTGAGAGAGCGATATAGATGTTTAATAAGCTTTGAATATTAGTTTATTATATAAATCTCTTAAATAACGGTTTTAAAAACTGTTCTACCTAGAAAACTTGAATTATTTCGATAAAATCTAAATAATCCAATATGATTTTGATTTTGACTTTGTCTTTACTTACTGCACTGTAATTAATTTAAGAACATTATTTAATGAATATAAGGTAATGTTTTGACCTCTGTATTGACCACTTCAATAGCTCAATGGTTAACGGCATTACCGAGATTGTTTAAGCGCTAAAGGTTATATTAGAAGGCGCGGTCAAGCGGCTGATAAAAATATGTGTAAATTAAAATCTATCAGAGAATGATACCGAAATGTGATTGTCTGGTGCTCTACGCAGAGACATTGGGGATATGTAATGGTAAATACATAGACAAATAGTAAAATTGTCGTAGTCTCATTTACATTATAAGTATGTGTAACATATTTATTTCATACCAGTAGCCATATCTCGTGGATTCTATTAATCTTTGAGAAGAGATTCAGAAGAAGCGGCGCGGGCCACATCGGGACATTCCGAACTAAATCGTCCGCTGGAGAAAGTAAACTACGATTATACAGCCTTAGACGGCTGCATTTGAAAATAAAACGTATGTTGCCTGCATAAGAACGAAAATCCCTTTGCACAAAAAGTACGAAGTCATCGCGGTACAGGTGAAGTAATACCTGCAAGCTGTTAATGGGGTTTGAATTTAGAATCAGAATTTAAATAAAAATATGAGAAATGAAATTTGCACATTCATAAATTCTTAGGTATGTATGTATATAGTATAGACAATCAAAGTATAGTATAAATATAATGTGTGATATGTGTGTGAAATCTCGTACCACACCGTGGGGAATGGGGCGAACATATTTCTATGTCCGTTTCAGTGATCGATTTTATTGGCAAGTAGTTGATCAGACTTCTGTGCTCTGCCCGACCGAGACAATCTATTGTTTTATTCAAACCAAGGGCCTCTCACGCTGAACACAGTACTAGAAAACAGGTTTAATCATTTAGCTACAGAGGGCGGTCGGAAAGTATTTGGCAAATACGTGAGATATAATGGGGCCCATACAGAAGACATCAACGAGCTGTTAAATGGAGATTACAACCCTTTCTACTTGGATCACACTAAAAGTGCCCGGAAGTGGCCACTTGTAAAATATGATTAAAAAATTATTATTAAATTTAAAAATGGAACTATTCTCCGTGCAATACATTTGGTTGCACCTAATTGTAAAATAACACTACAATATGAAAACATCATATTATAGTGTTATTTTAAACTAGCTGAGTCAGCGACTTTGTCCGCGTAGAATAATTAATGTGGGCATCAAGTCTAGTGTTTTTACAAACCTCCTGTTCAACTCTATAAATTTTAGCTGTTACACACGACGTCGTCCGCGTCCCATCGTTCTTACAAGTAAATTTTAAAAGATAGACATAAACTGCCGGGGTTTTTTAGATCTTTTAAACAGGAATCATTCTTTCATACACATTTATTAAGTATTTAAACCTTTTCCGCAGCGTATGCCACGGAACCCCCAGGCATAAATAATTTTCCCCGGTTTTTTCACATTTCCCGCTGTTTCTTCGCTGCTATTAGTCACAACGCGATGTTTTATAGCCTATACCTTTCCTCGATAAATGCTCTAACCAGCACAAAAATATTTTATTAATTCGAACTAGTAGTCCTTGAGATTAGCGCGTTCAAACAAACAAACTCTTAGCTCTATATAGATTATTAAATGTAAAAACTACATTATATATTAGTTAGAAAATTTATAGTGTAAAGTAGATATTTTTCCATTATATAGTTTTAACAATAATATATAATAACAAATAAAAAAAATAAACCAAATGTGTTTTTGTGTATAATATTATATAGCGAAGATTTACATAACAGTGTTTTTGCCTATTACTATAGAACGGGCGTTTTAAAAATTGAGATCCATATTACATTAAACAATAAATTACAAATTACTTATAACTTAAAGGGAAGGTAAGTTTAGTAACTTTATAGCAGATTCAGTTGAAATGATTGTTTATGAAGATAATTCTTCATTTAGAAATCCCTTTCTTCATTACATAATTCGACGAAACAAACAAAACGTTTTATATATCAAAAATTACATTTTGATGTACTAGGACGACTATTTTAAACAAAAACTTAAATAAATTATACTTAATTGTACTACTACTATTATACTATTTAAATAAAACACTTTAACGGTTTAAAACGCGATATATTAGTTAAACTTATTTGAAAATGATTTTTAACTTCGGCCCGACGTTAGAGTGTTTTATTTAAATGTGTACTACTCGCTTAAACTATAGACAGTATTTTACTATTATACTAATTCCGATGTTTTATGATTGTGCAGATGTATTTCATGTTGTGAAATAGGTTGGTGCTTGCTCTTCGGTTGAATCAGATCAGTACCCCATGTCCACTGAAAATGTTCATAAGGCAATTTTTATTTTGTAGTATATATATAGGGTACAAAAAAATTAAATAATAAAAATAAAACCATCGTTTTGATTTCTATTTGCATCCTCTTTGCAAAGCTCTTAAAATTATGTAAAGTATTTTTTTTAATTCTGGTTAATCCTATTTAAGTATATTATAATATTTCCCCCCCACTTCCTCTAGGCAGCAATTTAGGCACTAGGTAAAAGTCTTCTCTCCTTACATACTATTTGAAAGGTTTTCACCCTAACATGTAGACAGTTTATGAATTTAACCACACCATTATCTAAATATTTGGATTTGTAGTTGGCGTGGTGGTGGTCTGAAGTTGCTTATAATCAATCGGTAATGGCTTTGGTTCTTACTGGATTCTAGATGTTTTGTATTAATAAAATAAAAAAGTCGGTAAGTTCCATTTTCATCGATTTCCGAATTTCCAAAAGCTAAAATAGATTGACAGCGCGTCTTGTCGATATGTTATATAGCTGGGGTCAGTCTTGTTTATCCTCCTTAATCACAAAACTAATTAAAAAAAATTACCTACTTATAAATGATTTCATTTTAATTCATACATTAATAGTAACATTTTTAATGATTACGAAAAATAAAAAAATTTCCTCTGTAAGAGATATACTCACCACGAGAACAGCGAAGGTTAGACCGAGGAAATAGCCCGCTAACACATCGCTCCAGTGGTGCTTGTAGTCTGTGACGCGAGAGAGGGCTGTGAACCAGCTGATCATCACAGCTGAGAACTGAAGGACGTGACGAATCAGCCTCGTGCCCCTCCATACCATTCTCTTCTCTAAATATAACTGAAAGAATTATAGAATTAATTCCTTTAAAAATTTTTAGTCTAAAATATACCACTAAAGTATTATTTACTGCATCGATCCTTAATCAAATATCTTCGTATGAAGTAATTATGAAAAAAGATAGACTAAATGAAACATATATATGTATATAATGTCTATGAACAAAAGAACGTTAGGTACAAGATATCCATCTTGTATATTTCATAAGTAATCCTTACTTGTTTTTTCTGAATTTACCACGAGTGCCAAAAAATTGATATAAATAATAGTTAATATCGCATTTTTAAGTTATTACACAATTCGCCTAAATACGTACTCACGGTTTGAATGGCATATCGCTTAATTTTAATTATCTCTTTCTAAACATAACTATCATCATGTGAGGTCGTAATATCTTAAATTAACAATTGAATCTTGAAGATTCTTCATGTAAGTATCTTGTGTAGCTTCAGCGAATCTAATCGATTAAATTAAACGCCTTTATATGTAGTTTAAAATCTTGACGACGCGACAGCTGCTGTACAGTACAGTCTAGAAACCAATTTATATACAGAATATATATATATAGTACATTGAAATTGTAATAAGTTTGAAAAAAATCGTGTGGCACTTGAACCCATAGCGTTCTGTGGTACCTCTCTTTCATGCAGACGAAGTCACACAGCTATGGGGTTCTCCATTAATCACGTGAGGCTTGAAAGGGGGGGAGGGGTTTGATAAAAATCACGAAAATAACACAAGGGGGGAGAGGGGGTGTAGTAAGATATCTCGTGTATTTATTTTTTCGTTAAACGCGCGATTTTTAAACAAATGGTGTAGACATTTTTATTATGCTCCTTAATTTCAGAATAAAATAAGATTATAGTTTATACCTGTATTTATATTAAGATAATATTCAGAAAATTTTAAGATTCTTTGTAGGTACTAAAAATACACGTGATGTTGAGAAGGGGGGAGGGGGGTGGTCTCAAACCTCACTACGTATCACCAATGGGGGAGGGGGGGTTTAAAAATTCTAAAAACAGGTCACGTGATTAATGGACAACCCCTATGCGTCAGCTAGTAATATATATTTCTTAAAGTTGTATAACTACTTACTGCCAAATAAATCATAGTGAATGCCGACCACGCAGAATGTCCACTAATGAATGACATGTGTAAATCATTGAATTTTTCAGTATTCTTAATACCAGTGCATTCAAATTCACGGCTCTCTATGTACCGGTGCTGCCACTCCGGCAAACTGCAGTTAACTGTGGGCCGGCATAACTGAAAGGTAAACAAAATTAGGCGCCTGTCGGTATATTTTTAGCAAAAACGAGTTTCGACGTAATTTTCTATCTCATTCATTTTTTTACGATAGAAAAGGGACAAGCCATAACTATAATTCAATAATATAAAGTAAAGTTATCTAATCGTAGCAACGTATGGCTAATAATCAACAGGTCGTGGGTTTGATCCCCACCGGGTGTAACTTTTTTCAAATCAATTTATAATTTTTGAGAAACATATTGACCTTCAACTGGAAATCTGGATATTTTTTATTTATTTATTTCATTATAAACATATTCTACCATTACAGAAAAAATCCATTGCGATAGACTTATTATATACATATTTCATAGAGTGATGTTTTTGTCAATTCACCCAAGCTGCACGTAAAAATGTCGATCCCCTCTTGCAGCTTATTGATAACACACATATCACGGACAAGAGGGGATTTTATCAGCAAGTTGGTACGTGAGTACGGCAGCGCAAGTAACGGTGGTCGTAACGCCTCCACACGTATCGGTCCGGCACTGACAAGTCTAAGGACTGTAGAACTCCTGTATATTAAATGTAGGAATATCAAAATCCCGTCCGGGTCACGAACTAATGTCTGTTGATGAAAAAGCAGTGAAGTTTGATCGCGTTTCGTTTTCAGTCTGTAAATTTCGAAATATCTAAATCCCAAATAGATCGACACCACATCTGGTTAAGATATTATATGGCTGGGGTATTTGACCATGAATAAAAAAAAACTTCTCTTTAATTTTTTTATAATGATTTAGCTGTGTCATAAAAATGGTCTTGTCTGTTGTCTGTCGTGATTCTACAGTGTGTGCCAAAGTGCAACTTGACCGTGTAGAACACCCAAGAAACTCAGTCTGGCTTTTCATATAATTGTGCATATACTATTGTGGCTAATAAAGTGTAAACTGTATAAACAAAACCTTGAAATGTATCTGATTCACGTCTACAATATGATATCAAATATAGCTTATTAACAATTATAATCTTTACTTAAGTTTCCGTTAAGATAATGCAGAGATTATTAATGTACGAGGGGTGATAGTCCAATATCTAAGTGATGTTATTATACGCTTAAAATAATATGACCCCGGGTCATCGGAAATATTTAAAATTATGCCAGAAAGGCAAACATTTTCTAAGTATTTTTATCGCAGTGAGGTCAAAATATTATCTAGAGCAAACTTTTTTAACTAGAACATTCTCTATCAAGTACAGTCCTAATGTCTCTATAACAATCAATTGTTTCGATTTAATTGCTATGTTTTTTAATCTCTATACATCTTATTTAGAACTTAATAAGAAATGTTTTAGATAAAAATAATTACTTTAATTTTATAACCCACGACGGCACTATATACAGCGACGTAATAATATTACGTTCAAATGAGAAAACGATTTATTTAGTAATGCAATAACATTTGAAAAATAGAAAAATTTTAAAGATTGAAACATATTTACGACACGGGCGGCACGGGCGGCACGGGCAACCATGTAACTCAAATGATTAGAGCAGCACTAAATCCTGTAGATGCCGGTTCGAGTCCCTCCCGTGTTTTAAAAATTTTATTCAACGTAAATAGATTTTTAATTTATGTAACGCCATCATGTGCGATATGTGTAAATACAAAAACTTACTTTTGTATGTTGGAAGTGATCTAATAGGTGCTCCCAACCTAAACAAAATGCGATGTTGACCTATTTTGGCTTTGGATATTCAGAAATCCACAGACTGAAGCCGAAACGCGATTAAGCATGGCTTATTCATCTATGGTGGTTCGTGACCCGGACGGAATTCGATATTCTTACGTACCATTTAATATCCAGATTTCCAGACGAAGTCCAACATGTTTTAGAAAAATTATAAATTGATAAGTTAGAAACATTCTAATTGATGATGATTGTTGATTAGACGTACATTGCTACCATTAAACCAAAGAGCCAGCCCGTCATAACTGTTCATAAAACTCACGTCAAAGAAATGTGGCCGTGGTCTCCCGATGACGTTCTTGGCGATGTTAGTAGTGAGTTCAATAAAACAGGCTCCGTAGCCGAAACAAGCCATCACACAGTAGAATCCCCTCATCCACCGTGGGAGTGGGAAACGGAAGCACTGGAACTCGTCGTCTTTGCGAAGTAGCGCCCATTCGCATATTAGAAACTGTTAAGAAATGACAACGAGAAGGAGCTTTAATTGCTGTTATTAGTTTATAAATCGCGTTTTAAACCGTTAAAGTGTACATATAAAATATATGTATAATATAATATACAAATATCTAACGACGAATAGATAAAAACTGAGACTATTTATGGTCGTGAGATCGACTTCTGCATGTGTCTAATTTTCTATTACAGTTTTCAATTTATAAATACATACATATAATATAGGCAAATCATATTCGTTGTTTAATTGTTAAGCTATTATCTATCGTATTGTCTATACTTTACACGAGAAGTGAAAAACTTGTAACGGTTTAAAACGCGACATATATATGTCGAAGTTATTTTTTAGCTACGACCCAAGATTTCGAATGCTCTTCCGCCATGCTGACAGCAGTCTGATCAAAAAGCCTATAAAATGATCAGTGAAACAAGCACAGATATGTGTCTGTCCCTAAAAACTACTATACTATACTACTATAGTAATTACCAGATTTAGTCTTTCACGCATTTCTTGTGTATGAATTTTGGCGTAGCTACAAGCACCCATTAAAATGTGTAAAAACTGTGCAAGAGTTGTGATAGCGTTTATCAAATGACGTTGTATATTTGAGACACGCCTCGTCTTATGTATTTTTATTATCTTTCATTTTATTAATAACCGAAAGCTTTTCTCACTTAAGCAAATTATATACTCGTACTTACTGCTAGAATAGGAAGTCCCAATCCGTACATCCGCAGCATAGGCGTAGAAACCGTATCCGGCTTGTAAGGGTACATGAGGCTCTCATCTCCGCAGAAAAATCCCCTTTCAAAACCCGCCCACACATCCGTAGTCACGAATATTAGGCCGATTACTGTAAATGGAATTCTTGTTAGATAAAGTGGACCGGTGTCAGTGCTAAAAATTAAGCGCGGGACTTCCAAAGTTCAAATCCTTACTACATACTAATAATATAACTAAATTGTGTAAGGCTTTCACGGCCATCGTTCAGCATATCATTGTTTTTCGGGCTGTTCGGCCGATGTGAGCGAGAAGAGGTTCTCGACGTTTCGCCATCACGCGCGCACGGCATCATCAGGAGATGTTAACTCCTCGATTGCTCGAAGAATAATTCTTCGTGATGGCGAAACGTCGAGAACCTCTTCTCGCTCACATCGGCCGAACAGCCCGAAAAACAATGATATGCAGGTAATATAACTGTTTCGGTCGGACAGTGCACAGCCCGATCGACTGTTTGCCTGTAAATAAAATCGATCGGTGTTGGATATAAATTCTGCTTTGTAATTACTTTATTTGCGGCTAAGTAAGTAAAAAACAAACTCACAATATAATAAGGTCTTCAGAAAAGAGTGTTTTTATTTATTTTATAGTTATAAGATGTCTTTCAAGAAACGCAAAAGACAACTTGATCAATTTTCATGAGGTTTAATAGGTAAGTTGCGTATTTAACAAGACTATTGTTTAGTATTGTATGTCGTTGTAGTTAACGCAGGTAGAACACATTTCAAAGATATTTTAACTGTTCACTTTAAAAACGGGAAAATGTTAGGAAGATCCTCGATCTTTCCCAGCTGCTTCAGAGTACCCGAAACGTCGGCCCTGGGTAAAATAAGTGTAACTAGGTATAACTAATACATTTCGCGTTTTAAACCGTTAAATATTATAAGAATATATTTATAACCGGGAGGTCTATCTATGAATCGTATTAGGAAGGAAATATATGTTAAAATAACTATGGCTAAGTTTATGCGCTAGGAAATCTAACATTTCCTTAGATTGTGTCTTTATCATTAACGACCATGATCCAAGAAATGACCCTAAGCTATCAAGATCACGAATCTATCTAAGTCAAATGTCTGATAGAACCACTACTGTAATATTTTTGGATTTTGTATACTACTTAACAATTTGGAAAACAGACGAGCATAGGATTCACTTAATAAAACTTGAATATCTCAGCTATATAACATAAACAATAGGCCACGTTAACTTACTTAAGAATGGAGAACATCCATGGACAGAAGCCGAAACGCGATTAAGCACGCGGCTGATCTGTGGACGGTGGTTCGAGATCCGGACGGAATTTCGATATTCCAACCATACATTCAATGACCAGATTTTCCAGACGAAATCTGAGACGTATCAGATAAATAATAGTTTTTTTTAGAATCATGTTAGACCCGGTGGGGATCGAACGCGCGACCCATTTATTGCGACCATTAGAACGTGAAACCCGTCGGTATATTTTAGAATTATATTAAAATAACAATCTCGTTATTTTAAATAAAACACTTTAACGGTTTAAAACGCGATATATTAGTTAAACTTATTTAAAATTGATTTTCAACTTCAGCCCGACGTTTCGCATGCTTATAATGATTTTTAAATAAATTTAACTAATATATCGCGTTTTAAACCGTTAAAGTGTTTTATTCAAATGTGTAAAACTCGCGTAAACTATAGACAGTATACAATCTCGTTAATATTACGATTATACTTACAAGAAGGACTAGAAAGAAATTTAGGATAACTTTTTGTCGTACAATTCTTATTGAATACAATTGTTTTGTACTATTTATTATTATATTAGGCTTCTAAAGGTATAGAATTATTTTAAGGCATAGACTATAATTAAAGCTAGAGGCAGAATAGCCTAACTGCCATTTTATGACTTGTGTTATTTATATTTTTATAGTCTTAAAAATGTTTAAACAAGAACAGTTTAACAGTGACCGAAAATTGTTAACATAATTCGTACACAAATAATAGTACAATTTCATTATCGAGGTTAATTGCGCATGTTTATTTCCATCCTTATTGAAAATCATGTTTTTTTGTTATTAGGCCACTCTGGCTCTAGTAGCCTCAATTAAAAGATAGCCTTCGAAAGTTAACATACGTTACTCACTGTTGACATGTACCAGTGTACCATCGTGACATTTATACATACACTGCGTCATATACGCGTACTATTGCATTCATTATAACGCAATAACTAATTACTATTTCATAACAAAATAATTTACATGAAGATTTTATAACATAATTTTTTTAACACATTTTGTATTTAGCATTCGTTGTTTTAATAACAATTCAGTTAAGGTTTCTTTAAGAAATCAAGTTGAACTTGTTTTAAAGCTAAGTAACATAATCGTTTCACTTTTATTTTACATGGAATAACATAGTTTTAATTTTTAACATCCGTATTCACAATGCGATTATTTTCTAATTAGTTTCTTTTTTTTTTCATATATTATCCAACAAAAGGATTGTTTGGTGCTACAAATTATATTTAATTTACTTTCGTACTACACATGTTAAATTGTGTCAAACAAATTATTTCATAAAGAAATTAAATGTTCTAATAAAAAAAATTTAATTAAAATAACGGTCATAACCCATTTACTAATAAGCGTGTAAACTTACATGCAGATATGCAAAAGCAGTCGACAACGAATTTCCTCAACAGATGCAGAGATGTGTCTTCGCGAGACATTTTCCTTCTAAGCTATGGATTGTATGTATTATGTGACAGCCAGTACAGCACTGAAGCAACTATGTTCTGTACTCGACTTAAGTATCAAACGATTTGATACGATTATCTTCATAATAGGAAAGCGATTTGAGGAGTCATTTTCTTGACCTGTTAAAGTTTTTTTATATGATAGAGAACAAGCAAAGAGCTCACTTGATAGTAGTTGAACTACCCCATATAACATCTAAGCAAGATGCGCTTTGCATATCTGGAAATCAACAGACTGAAACCGAAACGCGATTAGACTTCACGACTTTTTCTGTACATACACGGTTTGTGACCCGGACGGAATATCCAGATTACCAGACGAAGTCCTAGATGTTTAAGGAAAATATAAATTGATCAGAAAAATGTTAGAGCAAGTTGGTGCGTGATTACAGTAGCGCAAGTAACGGTGGTCGTAATCGACTCCACGCGTATTGTAGGTTAATTACTGAAGATCAATTGTAAGTCTTGTTATAAAAATATAAGTTAGTCCAACATGACGTAGTATGATCCAGAAACGCTGGAAGCTGTGTGTATTTGTTTTTCGTTCAAATGATCAAGGTTCGGGAGTGAGGCACACCATTGGAATTCGGTATTTTCCCGCCAAAAGCCAGACGGTGGTGGGTATCACTACATAGTATTAAAAAAGTCGCTTTTTCTGTTCCTATGTACGCTTAAATCTATTAAACTTCGCAACGGATTTTGATGCGTTACTTTAATAGAGTGACTCGAGAGGAATAATTTTTATATACAATGTCCACAGTTTTTCAGTAGTGAATTTAGTATCAGCATTTCACAAGAGCGAAGCCGGGGCGGATCGTTAGTATGAATATAATGACAAGTCAAGTCATATAAAGATTTTATATACATACAAAAATTGTTTGTTAATGTAAAATGTTTATACGTTTCAATTTCAATTTAATTGATTTGTTACAAAAACATTGTTTGTTTTGATGTTAACATACCTTGTTATCTTCGGTTTAAAAATATCCGAGTTTAATAACCCATACGTAATTCTCACGGAGTTTGTGCTCTATGGATTTATCTTGAAGCAATCATTCAAATGCGTAATATTTTACGGGTCAGTTGTGCTTTAATAATATTTTTGTTTTTTTGTTAGATAGTATTTTCAGAAATACAAATCACTGATTACAATTTCAAGGATTCATTCGGTATTTGAAATTTGACTGGTTATTTGACATTTACAACTACTCAAAAGATCGTAACGAGAACCACCTTACCGCGAAATGTATTCTACTTAGGTATAGCGTTGTTCGTCTCGCGGCGAGTTTTCACCGAAACGCGGGCTTCGCTGGGCGAGAAACTATGTCTTGCGACCAACCTGCTCCTATGTCGCTAAGCGAGTTGTCTTTGGGAGAGTAAATTATCAGATCGACTATGTTTTCTTAAGCGAGGACATATTAAATTGTAGTGCCTGATTATTCTTTCTACAGGATAACTATAATGTGATAGAAATACGTAATGGTAAGATTAAAATTTTATATATAATAACACATCTCATTAAGTGATGTGTTTGTTAATTCACCCAAGCTGCACGTCCAAGAAATATCCAAGAAAAACGATAAATTGATTAGAAAATGTTGGATAGGGTGGGGATCGAACCCACGACTTGTTGGTTAACCAGACATTGCTACCATTACATCAACGCGCCCGTTAAGTCGTAAAATAATCGTACTTGCTCCAACACGTATCGGTCCGGAACAGACAAGTGTAAAGACCAAATTGTTTCCTCTTAGATTATTTCGATACAGATTTAAATTCACGTATTTATCTAACATAGATGGTTACCAAATACATAACTTCAAAGATATGCCAACCGCGAAACGATAATCCGCACTTACAACTTTTTATCACATTTTACGACACTATATCTATATGTTACGGGGATCAAGAAACATGCAACCGCATAGCCGCTGCCTAGTGATTCGTGCAGGTTAGAGGAGTGACGATAAAAAATTGAACGCTTATCGTAAACATAGATAAACATACTAAAATAGATAGTGCTATTTTTATTACGATTATCAGCGAAATAGTTTTACGTTGTTGCTACAGCTACAAAACTACGCGGCATATATGTCGCGTAGAGTAAACATACCATTGCGTAAGAGAAGTTTGATACCCGGGTAAAGAATAAATTGTTTTAGCCAGACAGAAAACAGTAGTCAATCAAGTAATTGCTTGTAAATAAAATTTATTAATGAAAAAGTGAAACTACTTACCCCCTGTGGGGCATGGGGCGATCATATTTCTCTAATCTGTTCTTTTATAAGCAAATACTTGATCAGATTTCTGCACCTTGCCCGAACGAAATAATCTATTGTCTCCCCGAGATTCGAACCTAGGACCTCTCGCGCTTAAAGCAATGCTAGGTAACATGTTTAAGTATTTGGCTACGGAGACGGTCTGAGAAATGTGTTCGCCCCATGCCCCAGAGGGGGAAAAGGATTTCATTATAATGCTGCCCTATAGCTCTTTTGATTCCCTGGTAGTCACTTACATTTGTTGTCTATTTGTATGTAATATTTATTTATCAATTAGGGTAAACACACCAATCGTAAAGGTAAACGAAACTATAAAGTGAAAGATGTGTCGTCGACCTAATAACGTGATTATCATACAGTTATTGAATGGTTCCAATCGTTTATCAGATTGTTATTTTGTTGACGCTATTGTTGGGTTATTGAAGATGGGCGGATATAGTACATACGTACATGTTTGACCACGCGGTGGTTCATTTATTTATTACCAGATTTCCAGACGAAGTCCAACGTGTTTGAGAAAAAATAGAAAATAGAATAAAAATAATAAATAGTTTTGACACATGCCGGATCCAAACTCCTAAAACCCTCGCAAGCAAGAGCAAATTGTTTTAACATTCCACAACCTAAATAAAGAAACTCTAACGGATTGAAACGAGAAATATATTAGTTAGTACAGAAAGTCTCCTTGTGGTCACGGCTGTTGCAAAGCATCCGAAACGTCAGGCTGCTGTTAGCGTTTTAAACCGTTACAGTGATTTATTTAAATGTTTACTACTCGCGTAAACTACAGACAGTATTTAGTCCACAATTAAAAAGTGTATAATATGATTTTACTAGGATATACAACGTAATAAAATTCAAAATATACTCATATATAAATTTTAGCCAAACAATTAATTGCATTATTTTGAAAACTAAATTATTTCAACTGACGTTGGAGGTGATAAGAGAATGATGTTACTTGTAATAAGATAAATATAGATTGAACTTCCTTGATTCATTCTCATTTGATAAGAGATTTAATTACGTCATAAGTATTATTATGACGTAAATCTCTTAGAGGAAAGTGTGAAAGCGAAAGCTAATGTGAGGGAGCGAAAAACAATATGAACTTAATATAGTAAATAACGTACATTTGGTTCAATAATAAGTTGTTAAAAAGTTATGTTTAAAAAATTATTATTAATTGAAATGACTATCTACTCACAAAAAAAAGAAGTGAAAATCAGTGTAGGTCTTTAAATAAAACAATAAACGGTTTAAAACGCGAAATTTTCGTTTAACATCCTAATAAAATATAGCTAAAATAAGATAACTAATATACTTCACGTTTTAAACCGTTGAAAGTACATGTTTAAAGATATACTTCTAGTATAAGTAAGTAGCAATAAACAAAAAATAACTACATCTAACGTGACTTCGATTTATCGGCTCTAGCATAAGTTTATATTTTATATAAATATCTGATTTAACTAACTACTATAATACAAGTATATAAAATTACAATTAGCTTCGTCTGTGTTGCCTGTCTTCTTATAATAGCAAAGAACATTCTTTTCATATTTGCCTATTTAGTGGACACAGGTACTTACTAAATTAGTATTCAGTTTGTTGTTTAGTTTGAAACCGCGGGAAAATATAATGACAAACGTCTTTTGTATATTATAATATGTATATAGACTTAATAGACAGACAAGATGTTCTTTAATATGTTCACAACGAATTTTACATTATCCTTTAAAAATTTATAATTTTTTACATGTTCTTGCACATTATATATTATGTAAATTTACGGTTTCTAACGCGATATATATTAATTAAACTTTTTAACTATGCCCCGACGTTTCGAATGTTTTGCAGCAGCCGTGGTTATGAGGTCACTAAGGATGGGGGGTGTGACAGTAATACACATAACGACATAACGTCTATTGGTTAAAGCAGCTACAAGGAACGTTGTGGATGCCGGTTCGAGTCCCATCCGTGTCGTTAATATTTTTAAATGTGAAAAGATGTTTAATTCATAGTATGTATTTTTTGCAAGATATTTTCTCTTCTAATTTTACCTAATAATTTGACACTTTACGTAGGAGTAGCTAAAGAATCTTTGCTCTTTGAATTAATGGAATAAGTGGTTATATTAACAAATATAACGAACTATAAAATATATTAGAAGAACGATTTGTTAATATAAATTTACTCTTACTTGCGATGGTGCTTTCGCTGGCGCTGCGCGGGAATCACAGAATGACGTTTCTGACATTCTTAATTTTTGACAATTGACTCTCTTAGATTACAGACTATATATCCTTACATATTTTGATTAAGTTAAACAGAATTATTTTATAAATATTTGAAATTAGTGCTGAGTAAAACAATATAACGCCACATTAAAAAATGCATAAATACATGGAAAGTAACCGTATTGTTTTTTATTTTTATTAATAAAATCATAATTATATTATTATTAATTATAGTATATTCTAGTATAACCAAATAAATTTCTGCGTAGCTTGAAACATTGTGTTATTTGATTTTGGGTTCGAATTCAGAGTTAACATATTAACTTTTTGACTATATTTTTAGACCTAAAAAAGGCTTTTGATACTGTGTCTATCCCCATCCTTCTGCACAGACTAGAAGACATTGGTATACGTGGTATAGCTCTTTCCCTTTTTAAAAGTTATTTAAGTAATCGTAAACAACAGGTTAAAATTAACAATATAATGAGTAATGAAGAAGAGGTAGTTTATGGCGTACCACAAGGCAGCGTGCTCGGGCCAACGCTGTTTCTGATATATATAAATGATCTTTGTAATATCAGAGACAGTGGTGGTCGTATCTTTTCTTACGCTGATGATACTGCAATTGTCTTCAGTGGGGTATCTTGGAATGCTACCCAAGCTTCCGCTGAACGTAGTTTAACAGTAATAGCTGACTGGCTGAATGAAAACTTTTTAACACTTAATGTTCTAAAAACAAATTTTATCACTTTTGGTACAAATCAAAAATCCCAACCGCGTGAAGACTTTACGATCAGGATTCACACGTGTGGCCTTCAAATTTACCGCTCATGTAGTTGTCAGAATATAAAAAGAGTTTCAACTTTAAAATACTTGGGAGTTGTATTAGACCAACGGCTGTCATGGCATTTTCATATTGAAACTACAATGTCCAGAGTTAGAAAACTCATTTGGGTTTTCAAAAATTTGCGCCATGTCATGACTTCTCAACTATTAAATAGGGTATATACCGCACTAGCTCAATCAATTATAACATATTGTATACCCGTTTGGGGTGGGGCAACTAAAACAAAATTCTTGGAGATAGAAAGAGCACAAAGAGCACTCTTGAAAGTTATGTATTTTAAACCTTCTAGATACCATACACAAGATCTCTATATCACAAGCGGGCTATTGTCAGTCCGAAAATTGTATATTTTGCTAATAGCTTTATGTTCACATAAAACTTTACAATATAATCCAGCACAGTATATTAAAAAAAGACGACGCGATACAGTAGCAAATCTTCCAAAGGTACACACTGCCTTTGCGAGACGTCAATATAGCTCACAATCCAACTATATATATAATAGAATCAATTTAAAAATAAACATCTATCCATTGATTTCTCGCCAGGCCAAAGTAGCTTTAACTGAATGGCTCAAAAAAGCAACATACGAGGAAACTGAACTGATCCTGAATAGACTAAGTTAAATTATACGCATTAAGCTTACATACTATAAAAAACTTTTCGAAGAACAATTATTATTTCTTATTTTACTTTTTACAAACATACACTCACACATCACACAAACGCATTCATGCATTCAAATAATACACAGTATCACACACACATTTTTAGCTGATCAACGTTAATCAACATAATTATGAACTTGTCAATCTTTTAATGTATATAATACGGGAAAGAGCGAGGCTGCTCCAACACAAGTTAGTAATAAACTTTCTGGAATAGCCTCAATACTATTTGTAATTTAATTATTAAGAGAGAGACAATAAACATATTTATTATTATATAACTAGTATTATGTAGCAACAGAGAAGTCTGATACCTCGTCAACTGTAAATGAATTCGAACAGTGAAACAGACGCAAAATATGTCCACTAGGGGGAACGACATTTTGCACACTGCAAACTTTTTTTTCCTTTTTTTTTAATATAGAGGACAGACTAGCCTAAGGTTCACTCGATGGGGGTAGAACACCCCAGCCACATAACATTAAAACAACATGTGTTGTCGACCTATTTTGGCTTTGAACATTGGTGGTATTTATTTACAGAGGCAAATTTGTTTTTCAGGTATGACAAAGTGAAACGTATTTTTATTAAACCTTTATTACAAAACAATATCTAGAAGTATCCTGCTTGTAGAAAATGATTTAATACTAATGATGTGTCATAAGTACGGGTCGTGGTAGGATTTCCGGTTGAGTGGACGGTTCTGTGAGCCACGAGTTCCGGGGACCCGATTTCTTTGGTTTGTAGAGATAGACGAACTGAAATTATATATATTGTTGAATTAGATCTAGAATTAGTAAACTACTAAGAACAATATAAGGACAACACGATATAAAGTCAGTCACAACAAAAGACATATAAAGTCTCTCCATCCTCGATCAAGTCCTGGTTTACCTCGCGTTTTAACCCGTTAGAAGTGTTTATTTAAATATCTAAACGGATTTTCACTTAAAATTTACATGTGGATATAGTTATTAAATTCAATAATTAATATCTTTATAACACAAAGGCTAAATGTATATGGCATAGCTTAGTAAAAACTCATCAAGAATACATAAGTACAACACAAAATCTTTCATTAAAATGGCAGCCAAGCACGTGTTTGGCCGCCCTCTTTCTGTTCTCTGTATATGAGTATACTTACGGTTATAAGTGCTATAACTCCACCCAGGACAAATCCAACAGCCACATCGCTGGAGTGGTGCATGTGATCGACTATCCTGGATAAACCCACATAGAAACCAGCCAGTAAGACCACGAATTGGCCGACGTGACGTAGCAACTTTGAACCGCGCCATCTTGCCTTCACTTCGATGTAAAGCTGAAATTATGTGTTATAATAAAATAGCCGCCTCTGTCGCGAAATCGTTAAACGTGTCGTATTGCGCTAACCTCGAGAGGTTCTGGGTTTGAATCCCGGGGTAACAATTTTTCGGTCAGGTAGGACACAGATCGGGCACAATGTCTTGCCCCAAGGCACGACATAACATTCACAACGATTGTAGCAATATTTTAGTTTTTACTATCAAGATAAAGAAAAACCTACGATAAAAAATACAGCGCAGTACATAGCGAAACTTGCGTGTGCGCTGGGAAAGGACAGCCGCATATCCGTCAGTTTTGCACTATCGGCGCCTGCGCAAGTAAACCTAGTCACGTAGCCCTGCGCTGTCGTTGTGAGGGGGGTCGGCTTACACACCTGAAAATGTCCTTGTAATAAATTGACTTATGTAATCGATTAATTTGAATATTGTAATAGATCAAAAGAGGAAAATTAGTAACGTTAGTATACAAAGTTGCAATGAAAATGTTTCAGACAAAAATTATACGAAATATGAAAATTATGTTTTCGTTTACTTTACAGTTCAAAATACTTATATTGTGTACCTCAAATATCTTAAAATACAAATTATTTTACTTAAATATTAATAAATAATAAAATATTAATAATAATAGCTTCTAACTTTAATTAAACAAACGTCGGGCGTCGGGTCTTGGTTAATAGATCCATTAGACGATAGATAGATACGTAAGTTTAAACTAGGTAATAGATACTAGGTAGAAATCTTTCAAACATCAGTCAGTGGGAACAGGCTGATAAAGGCAGCGCTGTACTATTCTTATTCGAGCATTATCTAACTTGTCTAAAACTCAAAATAATTATAAGTTTTACTGTTATTTTGTGGTACTTATTTTTTATTTATTACTTTAAATTTTGTAAACTATATATGGCTCGCGTTTCAAAATTTTTTAATTGTTCCTTTGATATCTGATATGGTCGCTAGTCGCCTTTATCAGGGATTATGGGATCTTGTATTGCGGTACTTTTAATCTTGTCAGTTGGACATTGGAAATCCATTAGGAGCTGCTAGAGAAATGTTTTTATGTGACATTATCCTTTAAGAAAGGAATACTTTACAATAACAACTTCTATACAAGATGTATTACAATAATAGGGAATATCGAAATTCCGTCTGGGTAAATGTGTTGTAGACATGGTAAAGACGTGGTAAGTCTGCGTTTGGATAATCTGTGGATACTCAGATGTCCAAAACCAAAATAACTAGACAGCCCATCTTCTTTTGTTATTATGGGATATTTAACCATACATATATATTTATTAATATAATATACATATATGTATATTAATATATAATATAGCATCTAAACAAGATACTATGTCGACCTATTTTAGCTATATTCGAAAACCCATAGACTGAAACAGTTACGTCATTACACTGCATTTTATCTGTGGACGGACGTTTGTGAACCGGTCGGAGTTTTGGATATTCTTCAAGATTTCCAGACGAAGTTCATCATGTTTCAGAAAAATTATAAACTGATTAAGAAACCCGGTGAGAATTGTACCGGTGGGGATCAAACCCACGATACGGTGATTATTACCATAACATTGCTACCATTACGCAAAGGATCCGTCAAATCGAATATAAACAATTTTCCTTCCTCACTTGGTAGGAAAGTCCATCCATACAGTCTCACTTTGTTATCAATACCAATGTATTTAACGTCATCACTTACGTCAAAGAAATGCGGTCTCAACCTGCCGATGACGTACTTGGCTACAGTGACCAGGAGCTGCTGACAAGAAGCCCCGAAAGAGAAGACACCAATCCCCACGTAGGTCTCCCAAACCCAGCCCGGGATTTCGAAGCCGCATAGGGTTTTATCAGTTACCGATTTTCCTTTCACATTACGTATTATTTCCACTATTAGGATCTGAAAGTATTCATTAAGTACAATGCGCCTTAAATAAAACATTTTTAACGGTTAAAATCGCGAAGTTAACGTATTTACAATTAATCCAGAGATTGACACCGACACATAATTACAATTGCCAGCCTTTTCCTCTGTGGACGATGATTCGTCCCCACGTCCTTTTAATATTCAGATTTCGAGACGATGTCCAACATCATCAACATTCATCGCGGCGGACTTCGAACCCACGACTCGTTTATTGTTAGCCATACATTGCTACAATTACACCAACGACTAATATATTTCACGTTTTAAACCGTTGAAAGTGTTTAATTTCATTCTGACATAATATCGTTATAAAACTTTTTTGTTTACTTACTGTTACAACCAATAAAGCAAACCCAAGAGCTGCCAGCAGACTTTCTGAGATGGTTTGGTCTTTGAAGGGTAGGCTTATAGATTCATCGTTTGGGAAGTACCCCCTTTCGTACGGTTGCGCCCACAATATTAGAGCTAGTATTGGGAAAGCGACTGAAACGAAGATTCAAAATATATTTATTTTTAAGATACAGATGCACAATTAAATTTTATTATAGAGTGCACTGGGCTTTATCGCTATAAGCTAGCTTCCAGTCAATAATTAAATAATGAAACGTTAGGTTGTAGTTTAATGTAACTAAAAATGAGTTAACTAATACACTTCAGGTTTAAAACAGTTAATAGTGTTTTATTTAAATATGTACTCCTTGCGCGATAGACAATATTTATTTAAAAACTTCAATATGCCTTCAATTCTTGCCCGAGTCGAAAATTTTCAATTTATTTTGAAATATTTATTTGAATAAAAAAATTATTATATTATATTAAATACAGCAATGAACATACATTGTCAACAGGTTGTGGATTCAAATACCGTGTTAGATTTCGTCTGGAAGATCTGGTTAAATATGGAAGTTCTGTCTGGGTCATATACCAGATGGATAAGCTGTGTTTCATTGCGTTTCGGCCTAAGCTTAATGCTAAGTGTTTTAATTTTATGTGGCTGAAATTTCACCTTCCATCAAATTTACTTGATGGAAGGTGAAATTGTCAAAAAATCATGCTTATCTGTATTCCTTTTTCATTGTGTAAATATAAGAGAGAATATAAGACAATCTATGTACCAATCAGTATAATATCTTAAACCGAACGATGGTGGTAGATTTATCTATATTTAGGATTTCATATACAAGCGGTCAATACTTTTATTGACCCTGTCTTTAATACGTGCGAAGCTTTAAGCACGGTATTAGATTCGAGTCCCGTTAACAAACAATGATCTTTTGTAGACATCGGCGTTGAATTTTTTGTGTTTAACCTACAATGTATTTAAATTTGATAAACATCATTTCAAAGGTTATCATTTTATGTATTACTAATTACTGTGATTCATGCCTGACTAATGCGACAATCGAATAATTACTAAAATTACTATCTATCTATACTAATATATAAAGCTGAAGAGTTTGTTTGTTTGAACGCGCTAATCTCAAGAACTACGAGTTCGAATGGATTTTTTTTGTGTTGGTTATAGCATTTATCGGGGAAGGCTATAAAATATCGCCTTGTGACTAATAGGAGCGAAGATACAAAGAGAAATGTGACAAAAATTAGGACAATTATTCATTGTTATGGGTTTCCCAGGCGTACGTTGCAAAAACGGTTCAAGATACCAAAAAACTATGTATGAAAGAATGGTTTCTCCATAAATGATCTTAAAAAAATGTTTACGACACTATGTCTATCTTTTAAGATTAACTTGCAAGAACGACGTGACCCGAACGACGGGTCGCGAGCGACAGGACGCGACCGATGTCGCGGGCAGTTTAAATTTAAAATTCTCTAAAATTAAGTATTGTCTATAGTTTACGCGAGTAGTACACATTTAAATAAAACACTTTAACGGTTTTTAACGCGATATATTAAATAAGTTTAACTAATATATCGCGTTTTAAACCTTTAAAGTGTTTTATTTCTCTAAAGTTGTAGAGGTTTACATAGACACATTTGGATGCCTATAATAACTATTCTACGCGGACGAAGTCGCTGACAAAGCTAGTAGCTATGCTCTTTTTATAAACTCAGTGCAATAGTTTTTTTTATTTAAATAATAGGAAATGATGACAACCTTCGAACAGAAATCAAGGAAGACTTACTGAAGCGTATACAATGAACTCTAATAAAAAAATCGCATCGCATGTTTTCAAATATTCACTTAAATTTCAGTAGATACTAAAGTTACTAACATTATAAAAGATAATGAAAAAACAGTTATAAGTATTCAAGGAAGTTTAATACTAATTTTTTGACCGTATTTGTCTACTATGAAGTTAGACATATTTCTATGATAAATATACCCGACAAAGAATTACAAATCTATTTTTTAGATACTATTTAACGGAAAATGCTATGTACATAGTGTGTATTGTATTTCTGACGACAAAAAAACCGACTTCAACATTGTTAAACACTGTCTGTAGTTTACGCAAGTAGTACACATTTAAATAAAACACTTTAACGCGATAAAACGCTAAATATATTAAATAAATAAATTTTAAATAAGTTTAACGAATATATATCGCGGTTTAAACCGTTAAAGTGTTTTATTCTAAGTAATTGAATATTGTAATCAAACTATACGTACCGATAAATAAAGCGGCAACGTCCAGTACAATTTTAATCGTCAAATTGTGTTCCGCCATTGCGTTTGTCACACTATTTCAATCACAATATTTCTCATTAACAATCACTAAGTTTACAAACCAGAGTTTTTTTAACAACCATTTAGATTTATAAACGTGGCGAATTAAACAAACATTTTTCTCAACAAACTTATCGCCTGCACGCGCTCAAAATGAAATCGCACTAACTGATAAAAAGTGATAAAAAAGATTACGTCTTTGAGGGTAGGCGAGACATAAAATCGACAAATCCAATCATGATGTCATTTGATAACGCGGGGACTTTTAATGACGAATAACTGTACTCTGTGCTGCTTACAATATCGTTACTTACTACAGTGTATTAAGGTAAAAATAATTATTTACCTTGAAAGCCATAATTGTGTCAAGCGCCATCTCTTAATGAAATGGGGAACTTAAATGTGAACTGAAAATGGTGTTTGCACAGGGCAAAGTCTGTACACAAAACAATTTGGTATAGGTAAAATTTTAATAAATAAGAAATTAATATTATTAGTGAATTATTGAGATTGTAATGTTCTGCTTAGTCAATATAACATAAAGATTACTAGATAAGTTATTTTTTCCTCGTCCTTCGAGATTATTTCGCCCTATATTTTAAGGAAAATTGTTTCCCATGAAACTAATATCGAATATTGATTGACAAAGATAATTCTTATCAGTTGCATTGAAATACGTGTGAAAACAGATTGTGTTTTATTTTTCAGTTTCCATTACTATAAAAAAGTATTTAATAAAAGTAAAATGGAATCACATTGTGAAAGAAACTCAAATTGTTATATGTTACGAAAAATTTTATTGGATCTAATTTTTTTATTGATCGGTAAGCGATGTTTAAGTTCAATTAGTTATAAACAGGTGTGAAGAATGATTCATGAATTACAGAATGTTTCAAATCAGAAATCATAGGCAGCGGTCAGTTGACCAATTAGGATATTTCCCGCCTTTTTCACGTAAATTAAAACACTTGTTTTTTTCAATAACAGAACAACTATCTTTACGACTATCTTTGTTCAAAGGGGCTTGAGGCAAGGGGAAACGCGTGGTTTTGTTCGAAAAACATAATGATAAATCGACATTTTTTTAATAGAATTTTGATAATTATAAAATCATTTATGCTCAAGTTACTAATTACATTATCTACAGACGAACTACGTAAATAGGATGGACTACGATTTCGAGCCTCAAGTTAAAAGGAGGCTGGTAGAGGCAGAGTGGCCTAATAACAAAAAACATGATTCTCAATAAGGAGGAAAATAAAAATGTGCAATTAACTAGGCGAAATGTTTAACTATTATTTGTGTAATGTTAAAAATTTTCGGTCCCTGTGTTCTTGTAGATTAACATTTTTAGACTAGAATATAAATAAATCAAGTCAATTGCAGTTAGGCTACTCTGCTCTAGCGGCCTCGAATATGGTCCACTCTGTCCAAGACCAACTCAGGATATCTATGTTCATTTGCAGTTGGCTTCTTAGTACTGGTCTTCTTCCTGTGGGGTGTGCCATACGAAAGAGGTTTTTTCTGGGATGATCGATCGTTAAAACTTCCTTTCAAGGATTCAACTGTCACTAGTGCCATGCTGTACAGCATCGGGTTTACACTTCCCTTAGTTACGGTGAGATGTTTAACATTTATTGTATTATAATAATGCTTCGTCTGTAGTTTTACGCCAGCAGTACAAATTAAAAAAGAAACTTAATTCAGAAAATATATTTTCTGTAACACCGTTAAGGTATTTAAATAGATCTAAATACATCAAATTGTACTCAAATATTCAAGAATTATGTTATGTCTTCTATTAAGAGTAGGTATGTTAAACCAAGCAAGATACTGGGTTTGAATCTCCGACAATATCAAAATGGCTTCGGTCGGATTCATTTGAATATATAATCAATATTTAATCTAAGAAATATGTATTTATATTTTTTTAATCGATTATAAAATAATAAAAAAATACCTCACAGGCAGGGCTTGAACCGTTGTTATTGGTTTCTTTGTTGTAAATGAGTTTTAATAAATAAGTTTAACGGTTTAAAACACGATATATACAAGTTAAAATTGTTTTAACTACAGCCTGATGTTTCGGATCAAGCAGCCATAGTCACAGGCAGACTCTCGGTACTAACTAATATATTTCGTGTTTTAAACCGTTAGTGTTCAAATTAAGTGTGTACTACTCGCGTAAGTTACAGACAGTATGTAAATGAGTTTTTTGAAGTAATTGCTAGTTCTTTTTTAAAATACCTTTTCCATCTTTATATTATTAGATGCTGATAACAGAGTATCTTAGACTACGCAACTATCAAGGACAGTCTCGTGCAATCTTCGATGTGGAGATTCCAGCCTGGATCTGGGAGACATATCGGGTGGTGGGCATCTTCCTCTTCGGCTGCGCTTGCCAGCAGTTAGCCACCGGTATTGGGAAATACAGTATAGGGGGACTTCGGCCACATTTCTTTGATGTTAGTTAACAGGCATTAATGTAACTATCTAATGTTATATAACTAAAAGCTTAACAGTTTGTTTATATGCTAATCTCAGGAACTATTGGTTCGTATTGATTCTTTTTGTATTGGATACATCATTCATCGAAGGCTTTAGGCTATAAAAAATCACGATGTGTCGAAGGACTTATTGGTGGAAGGTGGCAATGTATGGCTAATAATAATTAACGGGTCATGGGTTCGATCGGGTCCCATCGGGTCCATCGGGTCCCACCGGGTCCACCAATTGCCTAATCAATTTATAATCGTCGTAATTAATGCATAAATCAATACTTTTCTTGATAACAAGAGAACAACGTTTGCCGGATAAGATAGTATATAATATAATTTCGTTCATTCTTTATTTTGATTCAGGTGTATGTTGTTGAGTAAAATAAATTAAAAACATCTAGACTAATATATATCACGTTTTAAACCGTTCAGATTGCGTTTTTTGACAAAGTTTAATCTACAGGTTTGCAATCCGGACGTTAATTGTACACTGCCAGAGAACATAGGCCGTTACATAGACAGTTACACTTGCCTTGGAGACAACAGTAGACGACTCAGACAGATGAGATTGTCCTTTCCCAGCGGCCATGCTTCATTCTCTTCATACACTATGGTGTTTTTAGCTGTGAGTTTTATACATCTTTTTGGGGTTCCGTACGTAAGGTTCCAAATATTTATATATTTTCCATACAGAGCGAGACAGGTGAAACATGTAAAGTATTTTTTAATAAAACACTTTAACGGTTGAAAACGCGATATTAAAGTTAAACATATTTGAAAATGAATTTTAACTTCGTGCCGTGGTCACAGTCAGTCAGACAGTGACCACGGCTGCTGCAAAGCATCCGAAACGTCGGGCCGAAGTTGAAAGTCATTTTCAAATAAGTTTAACTAATATATCGCGTTTTAAACCGTAAAAGTGTTTTATTTAAATGTGTACTACTCGCGTAAACTATAGACAGTATGGAAAGTTGTTTTTGTTTTGTTTTGTCACAGTGCAAAATATATTTTGGAAAATTTCAAAAAAACATTTTATCAGGTTAAAACGCGCAATATATTACTTAAACTTTTTTACAAATTATTTTCAGACTGAGTTAAATTAATGACTGATTGACTGCTTTAAATGGCCAGTTTAGCCAAATACCAATTACGTTTAACTTTGACATTAGGGACAGCATCTTTAGTCTCCCCTTGACCACGGCTGCTGCAAAGCATCCGACACTTCAGACCGAGGTCAAAGTTATTTGTAAATAAGTTAAAGCTATTTCGCGTTTTAAACCGTGTTTTATTTAAATATTTACTAATCGCGTAAACTACAGACACACATTTTAATTCTAGCTCTACCTCCAGAAGCGTGTTTCTTGGCATGGTTCGAAGGTTCTGCGCCACTTCCTGCAATTCGTGGTAATCATGATGGCCTGGTACACAGGAATGTCGAGAGTCTCAGATAATAAGCACCATTGGGGTGACGTCATAGCTGGCTTCATCATCGGTGCTGGTGCGGCTGTTCTTGCGGTAAGGCTTATCATATAGTATAGTATCTGCCTCTAGCGGGCTCATATATATAAGGTAGGCATGTGGCACAATTTTCTAAGTTCACCCAGCCTGTACGGAGGACCACTGGATAGTAGCACGATGTATACCTAATAATAATAATCAACGGGCCATGAGTTCGATTTCCACCAGGTTCAAATATCAATGTTTTATTGACGCCGCTAGAGGCAGAGTAGCCTAACTGCAATTTTATGACTTGAGTTATTTATATTTTTATAGTCCTAAAATGCTACAATAACACAGTGACCGAAAATGTTAACACAAATTCAATTTCGCTTTAGTTAATTGGGCATTTTTATTTCCCTCCTTATAAAAAATCATGTATTTTGTTATTAGGCCACTCTGCCTCTAGGAACCTCAATTTCTCTTCCACATCTTTGGCTGTCTGTGGGTCACGAACCATCTTCCACTGATGAAAAAATGTGAAATGTAATCGTATTGTTTTTTACAGATCGTGTTCCTATATAAGCCGACGAAAGTGGAGCTATGTTATTCTTGCCTGACTGAATCTACAAACCGACAAGACACAATGTTAAGAAATTTACATTTGGCGCGAGATCAGTACTGATTTATCGTAATCAAATAGTAATAACATATTAAAAGAAAAAAGGTAATAATTTCCTACTTTACTTTATTAGGTTTTAGGAACTTAATAAATTGTGTAAGGCTGTCACGACCATCGTTCAGGATATCATTGTTTTTCGGGTTCAGACAGAGTTCTTCGAGCAATCGAGGAGCTAACATCTGAAGATACCGTCCGCTCGTGAATGCGAAACGTCGAGAACCTCTTCTCGCTCACGTCGGTCGGACAGCTTGAAACACAATGTGATGTTTTTCGGAACTTATTAGTGAAAAAAATCTATTGTTTTATATGTTATTGTAAAAATGTGTTGTGAACCTTTATGTTTTATCGTTGAGATACGAAGTATTAATATAATGTTTAACTGTATTTATAACGCCGTAAGATTTAGATATTGTCTGTAGTTTACACAAGTTGTACACATTTAAATAAAACACTTTAAACCGTTTCAAACGCTAAGTTAATAAGTTTTAATTAATTTGCGACCCAACGTTGTATATAAGAAATAACAACTTTTATATTTTGAGTGTTAAATCATAAATAGTGCGGTTTAGTTATGTAAAGACAGGCGATGTGCAAAAATGTGAAACATCAAATTTTCATAGTTGTGGTACAGTGTGTTGTAAAAATAAATAAAAATAAAATCAATAAGAACTTTTTTATTATGCTTTATATTGCCTTAAAACTTAAATATAAATAAATAGCTGCCGTTAAGCTAAAGGCAGTGTACCCTTTAAAAAACCTTAAAAATAAAATCGGTGCCTCGTTAACTACTACACTTGCAAACCATGTTTATACTATGCAAACACTTAAATGTACAAAGTCTTAAAACGTCTTCATATGATTTCAATGCATCAGTAAATAATAAACAACAAATCTTTTTGTAAGATTAACAATCTATTTAGGTTTGAAAAAAAAATGATGTTTGTTAAAGCAACAGCACGCCACGTTGTGGGTACATTCATGTACAGTTTTGTATTTTTTTTTAATCTAAATAGATTTTTAATTATCTCTTATATATTGCCAACATGATATCGTAAGCGGAAAATGACTAAGTTCTCATAGGTATATCTTTTTGTCCGAAAACTGCGCAAGAGTTGTTTCGAGCTATACATGTATGTGTTCAAAAAAATATTTGTTCTATATGATGAAGTCCAAATGTGTAAAAAACTTTTTTCCAATATGCATTTGTTTTTATAAAGTTTTCGTGATTTCAGAATTATATAAATCATTTGTGGCTTTTTATTATTTTGTACAAGTAGTACAAAGCTAAAATTAGGCGTGATTTTAGCACCAATCTTTTATTAACAAATCCATCATTAATGACAGCATTAATGGCGAAAAGTAAAACAAATATAAATGTAACACTTAAAGGTTGGAAACGCTAAATATTTTCGTTAACACATTCAGAATTTATTTTAATTACGGCTCAACGTTCTTTACGTTACGTTTATTATTACCGCCGTGTTCACAAGGGGACCTTAAAATAAATTTTTAAGGTCCTCTTTATTAATAAGTTAACTAATATATTTCGCGTTTTAAACTGTTAAGTGTTATATTTATAAGTCAAGAAAAGAAGAAATAAAAAATCGAAAAAAGGGTGTTTTGAGAAATGCACGATGTAAATATATAAAATTGAGGTCATTGACCTTCTACTTGCGTTACATTGCGCGCTGAAGAAGCTTTAGAAGCCAATTGAAAGAATTAGAGTATAATGCTGTCTTTTCCAGCCAATTTGAAGGTGAGATGCGTGTAGGCTTAGTCCTCGAACACAATATTAGCACCTAATAAAGCCCTATTTTAAAATACCTGCAATATCTACACTTCTATATCACAGAGTAAAATACATCCCGAGTCTTGAAAACCGTGGGAATCTTACAACTAAAAATAAATAAAATTATTATGAGCGCCGTTTTTTTGACACAGTAACCATAAATATATAAGCATTATATAATATTACTATTAGTGTACACGTTATATGTAAAGACTTCATAATTTGTATAAGAATTGGCAGTGTTTTTGAAATTGGAACAGAATAAAGAAAAAAAAACAGCCAATCCGTTGCTTCGATTTCAAAATTCGAACGATCTATTGGTGAACCGTTATATGGAGTGTTTTTGAAATTGGAACAAAATAAAGAAAAAAACCACCAATCCGTTGCTTTGAATTCAAAATTCGAACGATCTATTGGTGAACTGTTATATGCAGTGTTTTTGAAATTGGAACGAAAAAATAACGAAACAGCCTTCCGATGCTTCGATTTCAAAATTCGAACGATCTATTAAGAAATGCGGTGCCTTCGGCGCGTGCGACTTTGAATATTAGATATAAGACTAATTGGTGACTTATATTTATAACAGATGTCCTATTATACGGTGCAAAGTATTAAGTAGATTGTGTGTTAAAATACTGTTGTGTAAGGTGCAATTTTCATTGAATTGCTACTTGGACTTAAATGTGTTTAGGAACTAAATTTATAGTTTAACCGAATCAATTTCACTCACGCCTCGACGGCTTTAAAATCTAGAATTGCAAACAGTCATTTAAATTTGAAGCCAGTACATTTCGATGTTCAACCTTATTCATTTGACATAAGGTCCACATTTCCTTATCTGTGTGTAATAGTAAAATGCGTGTATATCAAAGTTATGAGTACATGTGTATCCTGCGCTTGACATGTGAACAAATAGCCATATTGGGCATTCAATCGATCATTTGTATGGAAGACATGCCTTTTAAGTATTTAAACTTTGCACGGTGTTGCATTGATTATAACTACATTGTACCGTTATTGCAATTAAACTATTCAAACATAACTAAGGAGTAGGTAAAAATAATAGTCCCTACACAAACGATCCAGCTGATCAAACAGCAAAACATATATCTTTATATATAGGTATATAGACACAATAATTTAGCAACTTAAATATAATAAAATTTTGCTTTAGAATTCTAAAATCTGGAATAATCCTCAATTATAGACCAGTCATATAGAATTTTGCCACCCAATTATAGGCCAAGCATATGAACTTTACAATTTCGAAACTCACCCAATATGTACAATAACATCCAATAGCAAAAAAAACATTTTAGGCCGAATTGGAAATTAAAAAAAAAGCCTAATGTCCCCGACGCGCACTCTAGAAGTCCGTGTAGGTCTCGGAGACGGCGGGTATATGTCATACGCCGTCACCGATGCCGTCCTGGTGGGTGGTGGCCGACGGTCAGACCTGCCAGCTGGGGGCAGTCCGGGTGTTTCCGTTGGTCGTCAGCTCGTTGTCGTGCGCGCCGTTCTGTCGTCTGGACGTTTTGCGGAGATCCGATACGAAAGCGTACTGTTAATGAAAAGGCGAGGATGAAAATTTAAGTCATTTAGTCTATGAAACGTAAGCAAAAATAATATTATAAATAACTCTAGTTACCAAGTGGTAGAAATGCCTTGCTATGATTGAACTGGCCTTTTTACAAAAAACGAACTATGAGCAAGAAGTTTATAAATATATAACTGTCGGGAAGATTTTTTTAGATGATATAAAGACGAGTCATTCTGTCATCACTTGGTTTCTCAAACCACAGCACAAGTAACGGAAGCCCTCAAATGTGATTAATTTCCTGTTTTACAACATTTTCCTCTATTTCTTCATTCCTCTCGGTCGCCGCCTGATGTTACATTGCCTAAAGCCTTCCTCGATAAATGATAAATATAGCAATTTCATATGAAAAATAGCACCGTTAATTTTATAAAAAATATTCATCGTGTTTTCCCCTTATGTTTTCCGTTAAATGGATTAACGAAATCAGTTATACAAGATATACAAATTGTAAAAATCTTGTATGGTAACCAGCGATTCCTTTACACTTACAGCTTGAGATATGTAAAATAAGCTAGTAAAACTCACAATAATAATAGCAGCAAACAATCCGATACTGAATCCGGCGAGGACGTCGCTCCAGTGGTGCTTGTAGTCGGAAACCCGCGTCATCACAGTGTACCAAGCCAACATGATCAACAGGAACTGGACAAGGTGACGCAGGAGTTTGGAGCCACGCCATATGAAGCGCTTCTGCAGGTAGAGCTGGAAGGAGAAATGGGTGTCATGCTCGTGGTTTATAAAAAAAACTTACACTAAATATGAAAGAATTGGTAGTTAGACTAATAGTCAAGCTCTTTAGATTTAAATAAAACACTTTAACGGTTTAAAATAAGTTTAACTAATATATCGCTTTTTAAACCGTTATAGTGTTTTACTTAAATGTGTACTACTCACGTAAAGTATAGACAGTATTCAAGCTTTACAGCTTGGATTTTAATTTTAAATACTAAAATGTCTATACTTTCTGTTTTTCTCATATTTTAATAACATTTTCTTGAGCATTGTCTGTTGTTACACTTTTAACGGTTGAAAACGCTAAATGTATTAGTTAATCTTTTTAACTACGACCTGATGTTTCGGATACTTTCAAATAAGTTTAACTAATATATGTATATCGGCGTTATAACCGTTACAGTGTCTTATTTAAATAGTGAATCTTTAATTTATAAATGAAACCTTACAGCGAAGTAGACCATGGTATATGCTGAGAAAGACGAATGACCACTCGGGAAGGACAGCCTCATTTCTTTAAGAAGCTTGGTGTTCTCTCCCAGACACGTGAATTTCTCGATATAACGCCATCTGTTTTCCGGTAGCGTGCAGTCGATGTCGGGGTTACAGACCTGTAAACGAATAAATCTTATGTTTAATAATAATCCGAAAGAACGTATATGCAAGATCGTATTAGGAAAAATATGCGCATTGAAATAAAACACCTTAAACAGTTTAAAATACAAAATATATTAGACGAAACTTTTAAATTTTTACTGTAACCTGTTATAAAGTTACTATATAAAAAATTAAAAATGGAAGGTATATATAATTAAGTTTTCCCGGACACACAGTCCGTTCATTTATTATATATAATATTATGCTAATAATTATTAAGACATCTGTTTAATATAAATTGAGCCAATTTCAGACCAAAAACATGGTTCAAATGTACGTTCATTTCAGATTTGGCAAAATAATTTCACATTAAGTTTTGTATTAGAAGTTAGCAAAAAAAGTCCTGTTTAGCCTCAATAGGCATGGCAGACACATTTGTGTGTCGTTTCCACTGATCGTTTCTGTTACAGACAAGTAGTTGTAGACGCTTCTGTGTCCGGCCGGATCGAAACAATTTATTGTTTCCCTCGGTATCAAACCTAGGACCTCTTTTGCTTATCGCTATGCTGGGCAACACGTCTAACCATTTGGCTATAAAGGCGGTCTAAGCGAGTTAAACAGGTATATAATTATTTCTAGGCCGTAAGGTATTTTCGCAAAAGCTGTCACCTCTTTACATACACGATTTTTACATTTAAGCGTTGGCACTTTGCAAGTTGAAGGGGTTCATTATCCATTTACATTATACCGGTTGTAAATTGTCAGTCAATTAATATTTTTAAACAATCCTCTTTTAGGAGCTCTGAGTGATGGCTGCTCGTATAGCTTGAGGCGAGCTAGGGTTGCTGCATATTGTCTGTAGCTTACGTGAGTAGTACTCATTTAATCTAAACATTTTAAACTGGACTGGAGATGGAGGGTGTCGAAAAGCATCCGAAACGTCGAGCCGTAGCTTAAATTAATTGTAAATAACTAAAACATTACACGTTTATAACGGGTAAAAATGTTTTATTCACATTGGGTTGTTGCACTCTTTATTTAAATGTGAGCAAACGCATAATTGTGTTCTTACACAAATAATAGTATAAATTCAGTTTCGCTAAATTGATAGCGCATTTTTTTAATTGAAAATCGTGTTGACATTAGGCCACTTGGCCTCTAACAGATTCAAACTAAGGTAATACTTGGTGTTGACTAATAATTTGAAACCCATCGAAAACTGAATCTTAGCAGCTTGACAACCCTAATGCTGCACGTAGTTGTTCCGAGCTGCAATTTGTTTAACAATGCTATCTTTGAAACGTGATGTGTGGAACCTTTTGTTTTTGAAAGATTATTCAAAGGAATAAGAGTCTCGAACGCCAGGCGCTTACAAAGTTGACCCCGAGCTTAGGAATCCAAAACAAACGGGTCGTTTTGGGCGCTTAAAGGTTCAAGAATACTAAGAAGCTTTGGTGTTTTAAAATACACGAAAGAGAGACAATAATGGATTTATGTATATCAACGATATACATTTTAAACACTCTTTTAACTTTAAAATGTTCGATTAAAAAAAAATATTTTTTTTTGATAACAAAAACGGGTTCAAATTAAACAATTTAACGGTTTCAAACGCCATATATATTAGTCAAGCTAATTGACCCCCGGTCTGTTTCGCCAAATACCAACTACGACGGAACAAATGGCGCTAGCGTATCAGTTTTTACTTTGACATCAGAGACACCCCTATCTTTAGTCTCCGTGACCACCGTCTGCTGCAAAGCATCCGAAACGTCGGACCGTAGTAAAAAAGCGTTTTAAACCTATAAAGTGTTTTTCTAATGTGTACTACTCGCGTAAACTACAAGGCAGTTAAACAAAATGTGGTTCACTTGATCTAAGAAATACCCCAGCCATATAACATCTAAGCGAAATGCGCTATCGACCTATTTGGTCTATGAACATTATCGTAATAAACATCGATAAAACCCTAGCACATAGAAAAACTCCATATTCAATATTTGCTGGAGAAACTCGATTACAAAACTAGCGCGTCCATACCTTGAATACAGAGTGGCCTATTATACAAGACCGCATTGAAATATTAATAAGACCCGTGTTTACTGAACGCAAAGTTATTATTACGATGCTTTTTATTCCTTGTACGTCAATCATCCAATCGTGCGACGGTGGCGCCCTCGAAAGCGATACCTTTTTTGAATGCGAGACAAATTGCCGGTTGTATCGAGATAAGTGTTTATAATTAAGCCTTTATGGGGCCTAGTTTTATCAGATTATGCGTAAAAATATTGTTATTTACAGGGATATCTCCTGGAATGTATATTTGCTTTGTTTCAGGAAAATGTTTTGTTCCATAAAAATATTACAGATTTTAGTTATTGTTAGTTTAAAGACACTAAAAGCGAAATATGGCGAAATCATGATGGATGGCGAAAGATATGCGCCGTCATGAAATCCACTGACTGTAACCGAAACGCGATTAAACTCCACGGCTTTTTTAATCGTGTGATTCGAATCGGACCACCCATATCAGATTTCCAGACATAGTTCAGGAGTTCAGAGAAAAAATAAATTTCAAATATGTCGGACCCGGTGGGGATCGAATCTACGACCCGTTGGTTAATAGCCGTACATTGCTATCATTATACTTACGAACCCGTTAAAATAAACATAGGTATGATTATATTACTGTTTTGACGAAATAACAAAATCTACCTCGCAGAAATATTTTATTCCGAGAATCGATGCTAGTATCATTGAACATAACGGCTGAATTAAGGAATATCAAAAAATATAGAGTTGACGTCCAACTGAGTTCAATGAACTAAACACAATAAATATAATTGCTTTAAACACCTTAAACAGACCCGCAAAGGTAATATATTCAAGAAAAGTGCATTAAATCTTGATCGTATCTCCTTTATTTACATTTACGGCGGAACATTTACATTTGTACCATTATTGGTGTCGCACTCGATTGAAATATAAAATCTTTATCGGCCATCTTGAATTATAAAAGGTAACTGACGGACGGCCATTTCGTACGCGCGTGAATTGTGCAGAACTTCTGAATTGATAAGAATTGTATAGTCATTCGGAATATATTTATTTTATCTACCATGACAGGGTAATACATTCATTATACGTCTATACTAATATAAAGCTGAAAATATTTTTTTGATTATTCGCACTAATCTCAAGCGCTACTGGTTCGAATTGAATAATTATTTTTGTCTTGGTTTACTCAGGAAGGCTTTAGGCTCTGAAAACTGAAATATAAAAAAAAAGTGGAATCATTGAGGGCTTTTGTTGCGTGCGCTTCAAAAACTGTTCAAAATCAGTTTGATTGCGATAGTATATCTTTTAAGATTACGGCGACGACGGGACTATTCTATGCGAAGTCGCGGGCACAGCTAGTGATTAATACGATTGGTCTGAAAAATGAAATTTTCATAGTATGCTTATATTCCGGAAGGCCTAAGCGTAACGAAGAATGTTAATGGTCTGTAGCAGCTGGACGTGACTGAAACAAATTGCGCGATACGCTATCAAAGTACATTACTAATACTTAATATCGTTACTTTGCTATCGTTAAATATATGTAAACGAGCGACTAAGTCGTACGATAAATCAACGATAAGCCTACGACTTTTACTACCTGTGAAATGAGAGCAACAGACTTATTTCTGTGTCCGTTTCTGCCAGTTATATTTAAATAAATTAGTTTTGTTTTATTATTTCATTGGCAAGTATGATACATGATGTTTGAACGAACAAGAAACAATCGTATTTTTTAATTCACAGGCGGGGCTTGAACCTACGTCCGGCGTGCCATACAATTTGAAAGGTAAATAAACATTTTTAAGTAAAAATATAATAAAAATAGTAGATAGTACTAAGTAAAAAATGAATTATTTTCAGGTAAGACAACATTTATATTATTGCTTGTTTGTTAAAATCTTTCTCAGTAGACACAACTGCATGACGGTTAGTAATAAAAAGGTAATAACCAAGATATAAATCTCAAAAGCAATAAAACGCGGCAAACAGAACCGCGACATGCGGAAATCATTTGCGGTTGAAGGAAAACAACTGTGGAAATGGAGTACAACCTCTTCACTAGTAAATATATAGAGAAGTGTGATAAAATAGTGTTTTATAATCATAATATATTTCGTATTTTCATTGATTACGAGAACATGGACATACAAACACAAGGATCGCTTCATGGAAGGTGTAATACCGATATATTTTTTAAAGGTCGACCTATTTTGGCTATGGTTAATCGGAAAATCAACAAAACCGAAACGCGATTAAACTTCGCGGTTTTTCCTATCACCTACATTTAATATCCAGATTTCCAGTCGAAATCCAACACGTTTCCGACTAATTAAAAATTAATTGTTGTACAGAAACAGCCTTACGTTGCTACCGTTGCGCGAACAAGTCACAAAATCAATGTTTTGAATCTCCAGCTTTTATGAGAAAAGTAATCTTCAAGTCACTGAATAAAGTATTGTTTTTGGTTATATGTATGTATATTTCATATATGTTATTCATATAATGCTTTATTACAATGGAAATTCATTTATTATGTTAGAATTTCTTTACCTTTTACATACTATAATATTGCAGTTATTTAATATTTGTGAAAAATCTATTGATATATCAAAAAATTAACTCCAAGTCTTCATTATTCTTAGCTTGTACGTAAATATTACATCCAACAGATCCAGCAACATTTTGACATTGAAAGCTATGCCCCGGAGCAGCGGCGCCTTTGTACTAACTAGTTTCACACGAGCGTTCATTGGTATTAAATCGTTTCTATTATTGCAAAAGGTGACCGCCCATTATATCTCGACATAAAATTATTAAACATTTAATTCAAGAAAAATGTTTATTTCTTAAGGGCTAGCTGTGTTAGCGACTTCGTCCGCGAAAATAGTTATTTAAGGCATGTGATAGTTTTGTAACTGTAAATAACCTGTTGGAAAGCGATTAGCAAAGTCTA